TTTTTCATCAATGTGACCCTTTACTTCAGCCACGAATAAAGTATTTTTCTTTCTAATAATTCCCAATGCTTTTGCTTTCTTTGTTGCTGTATCACAAATGATAACACCATTCAATCTTCCCGGCATATACATTTTATGGTCAGTATATTGAATGAAATCATGAGGATTAGATGAAAATGATGAAGGATATAATGAATTAAAGTCAACACCAACGAAATGAGTCATAATGTTGGTGGTGTCCTCATTTGATACAGTTTTAGTTTCTGGACTATATGAAAGTTTATTAATGTGCGTGATTCCTTTAAGATTAACACGATGTTGAACATTTGATAGACCACCAGTAATTCCACTACGGAGAATGTGATAAGCTTCAACTGAATCTAAAGTCATTGGTAAATTATTTTTTAATGCATAATTTCTTAAATTGATTCTTAAACGTTGAACATCTTCATCTTTATTTGATTTTACGACATTGCAATAACAACACATTAACTGACAATTTTCTTTTGTATGTGGTTTTTCATTATCGATTCTATCCAATGTTGGTTTATTTGCATATGTAAACGCTTTACCACACATTTTGCATTTAGATGAAAGGATTAAATCGTGATAGTATCTTCATGATTGGCCCAATTGATAAAATTATCGAAGAAACATTTGTTTATAAAATTGACATGCTTCATAATCTTTCTTTATCATCGAATGCATCAATGATTCGTTACGCGTTAGCATATAAGAACTTCAATCCTAACGAAACATATCCAGAAGAAGAAAATGTGGAATCAAGTTTTGAATTAACAAAAAAGTATTGGAAATATAAAATTGAATCATATAAGAAACAAGATGAAAAAGCAGAAAGGGATACTAAAAATAATGCTTCAACGTCTGTTATTCTGTCAGCGTGAAGTTTTCCACATGGACTCTGTGTTAATAAAATATTTACTGTTTCAAATTCTGGATCTATCATTATTGATTCCACTAATGGAAAGTCTACCTTGTTAATGTCTACGTCTTCTGGTTGAGGGTCACAATAATAAAAATCAATATTAACGTTTAACATTCTTGCTAACCTCTCACTTTCTGATGAAATGTCAAATCCTTCATATGCATCTATTGCTTCATTTAAATAACTTCTACGAGTTTTAGGATTAACACCATCAGGAATGTTATAGAAGCGTTTAAATAACCTTCTACCTTCGGCTCTTATTTGATTATCATTCATTTTAGCTGTTCCATTTTATTCATTTATGTAAGAATAAAAATTAAAAAATAAATAAAAATAAAGTTTATTTTTTTAAAGTCCGAGACTCAGAGAGTCCAGGGCTAAAGTCCATAAAATGAATTAAGAACACATAAATTTTTATCATCTGCGACGTGACGAATACATTTTAATTTACTCAAGAATGTGTACCCTGATACATTAAATCTAATTCCTGTCTTATTTAATTTCACAACTTTGAAAAGGAATGTATGAATAGCTATAAAATGATGAGATGATGTTTTATGGGTTGCTTCCATTTTTTCTGAAATAAATGAATAAATATAATGTTTATAAGTTTTCATATCTTTTATGTTCTTAATAACGAATGGTATAGACCTTTCCACTTCGTCTTCCTTCGGTGCTGTTCTTTCATATGAAACATTATTGGTATCTTCAATAATGAAACCACAATCACATAAAATTTTATAGGTTCCAATTGTTTCTTTTGATATTTTATCTAACAAATCAAAAACTTTATCAACACCTGTACATTTATTTAATAATAATTTGTGTAAATATCATGGTCTTCTTTCTTAATCGTATTTGTTGCATATGTTACATTTTTCAGTGCTTTTTTGAATTTTTCAGAATCAAGAGGAGGTGAAAGTAATATACATGGATAATCTCCATCGTCAATAAACTGAAGCTTATGTTTATGAATAAATTTTGTGCCTTCTTCTGAAAGTGTTTCGTCAATATCACCATCTAATAAATTTTAGTATATCCAAAAAGTAATTTTTATATCTTTCCTCATGTGATTTTTGAACTTCTGATTCTGAAGCTGGGATATTCATTAAACCCTCTACTTCATTTTCATTATATTTTTCAACTTCTCTTAATTCCTTAATTTTTTCATCTATTTCATCTCTTATTTTTTTCAGTCTTTCAATTTCATTGTATTCATCATCATCTTTAATCCGTTCTTCATAATATTCGGGGAAAACATCAGGTTCTTTAGGTTTTTCTTCTTCAGATGTGGGATATAAGAAATTTATAACATCATCTTTATTCATTTTTCCATCATAATCTAAATCATTTAATAACTCAGCAAATTTTTGACAATTTCTTAAATAATATTTATCAACTTCATAACCCGCCTCCTCTAATATATCCTTTATTTCCCCGTTTGTGAATCCTAATTTTTTAACGTTGTTAGTTTTGACGCTCATTTCATACAAAATAAAAAAATAAAATAATAAACATAACTAAGTTTCTAATTTTTCGTAAGACATGAATTTTTAAAGTTTATTTTTTAAAAAATTATTTTTTATTTCATTATGGTAGTGAATCTTTTATTCATGAAAATAATTATTTCTGATTTATTTTATTCTCTCGTACATACTAGATTTGAAGAATTCGGAACTTTTACCATAATCTCCTAAATGTTTTCTTATCCCTAACGTGTGCCAGTTATTATATGAAACTGAATAAACTTTATCTTTATCTTTACACCTTTCATCACTTCCAATATATTTATATCTCAGTTTTGATTTAGCATTTTCATATTCATTAGCGTTTAATAATTCACAGTCTTCCTTTTTAAATTGATGTTTAAGATATTCAGGATTTAATACTCTACGTTTATATGCTCCTAACTTAGTTCTAAAGGTTTTTCTACAAAATTTAGGAATTCCATCCTCTTTAATGTCATCAATGATTTCCATTTCATTATTTTCAATTTCTTCTTCTCGTTTATGAGGTCTTTGATTATGACTCCATTGATTCCATGAAATTAAATATTCTTTATCATTATATTTATACCTCATTAGCTTATTTTGGCTTTCATATTCATTTAATAATTCACAATCTTCATTTTTAAATTGAAGTTTAACCCATTCAGGATTTAAATGATGTTTAATTAATCGCGGAATATCTGACATCATCTATATATAGCTTCTTTTATAAAAGATAAAAAAATAAATTATTTTAAAAATAACTTTAATTTTTTAATAATTTATAAATAAATATATTTTAATGCATCGTCTATATATAGATGTAACAAAAAAAGTCACAAAACCCGTCATATCCTACTACTCATTTTAAAATTCTAAAGTATTTTGCTATGATGATAGCACCACTTAAACAGGGGCTTCTGAATACTAGAAAAGAAACCTTTTGAACCTTTTAAAAAAATGCGTTTTTTTTATGGTCGTGGTTTACAACTATGAAACTAGCTTTGAATAAGGGTTTCGTTTTGCGAAAAAAACGTACAATACGCAATTTCGCTAAAAAAACATTTAGCTAGCAATTTCGACCTTTGACTCCACTCAAGACGTCACTTTTTTAATTTTGCGGTATCATATTTTTGGAAAATCTTTATGAATATTATATAAGAAGTCTCTTTAATATCTATATTTCATATTTTTATCGATTTTTAAAGTTTTTGCGAAAAGTATTCAATTATTTTTGCTATTTGGTCGGGTAAATGTCAGATTTGCGACATTTTCTGATATGATATTCAGATTCTACGTTGATAATAATGCTTATAGAACCCTCTTGCTATTGTGTCAAAATTGCAAAACCGATAGCAAAAATATCTCGCAATATCAAAATTGAGATATTGAGTGAATTATGCATTATAGAGATTAAAAATCTGATTTGTGAAAACATCTCATCAGTTTCTAGCTAATTCAAAAATCTTTACTATCTTATTCGATTAAAATGAAAAGGGAATAGTTTCATTATGCTTTAAATGACAGCCTTATAATATAATCATAGTTTTCGCTCAATATGCAGCATTTTTTTTCGAAATCTATGGTCAATATCCTAAATACTGATTGCTTTGCATTCATATCTCTTACATTTTCTATACCCACATCACTATTCATTGCTATTCCTATCTTTTTCATTTTTGTTTGTTTCTCATAATTTCTCAAAAAACATGATAACTTGATATTTGTAAATATCATACTTTATAACGTAAATAAGAACTTGACCTATTAAGAAAAGCAGTAATGAAAAGAAAATCTGAAATTCATAAAAATTACAAGTTTCTGATGACAATTAGCTTAATTAAACCAGGTACAAGATTATATAATTGTATTTTCTATCCAATTATCCATATAATATCTTATCCAGAAAAAAAAACTTGATCAATACCAAATGATTTTTTAACTAGTAAATAAAGTATTTTCTTTACACACACATTGTATATCATAGTTTTTTTTTGGTTTCGCAAAACATCCAAAAACAAATATGCTATAAAAGTGACAATTTTAGCAAAACGAAACCCTTACTTTGAATAATCAAAATGATGAGAACACAGTAACTTGTATCCAAATGACGATCAATCGATTTTGTATATATTTCAGAACAATACAAAATCTTCTCCAAATCCTCTCAACCACAGCCAATAAATTTTCCGTAGTATATTCAATTTTTGAATATATTTATGAATATTCACGGAATAATTATTAAAATTAGTTCAATTTGGCTATTAAATCATAGTCCTTGATTATATAATCAAAATCCATAATACTCATTAATAAAAATTGAATGTATTGATTTTACTTCATTGCCACCATATGTATTTTCACATATATAACAATGAGTACTGATCAATATTTTAAGGTCGATTTTACACCTTCTTAAATTTCAATTCTTTAAAAAACCTTCTTTATCAAAATTGAATTGCATTTCAATACCTTAATCTTCCGTTTTCTTACTTCTAAATGTAATTTAATATGTTATTTCATTTGTCCATTTCGTCGAAAATTTTTTTTCATAATTTAATTCGAATATGGAGCTATTATATCTCTTAAAAGTAGCTCTATTTTATTCACATATTTCAAACTTTTCGCCTTGGCAGCCTCTTGGTTTTCATTCTAATTTTCAGGATCCGAGCTTTCAAGAAATTCCTTCTGAATCAAATTTCGAAGGTTATACACAACGAATTGGAATTGATATCACATTAAATCAAAATATCTCTAGTACATATCGTAACTCACAAGATTTCTATTCTTCAAGTATTACAATCGAAAATGCTAAATTTGATAATTTAAATGCCTTTGGAGGCGATTTCGCTGGTCCATTAGGCGGAGCCATATATACATATATGTCGAATATGCTAGTTCAAGGTTCAACGTTCTGTAATTGTAAAGCATCTACAGGTGGTTCAATTTTAACAATAGAAACCAATATCCTTATGATGAAAACTAAAATTGACTCGAATATTGCCTACAATGACGGCGGTGGAATTTACTTCCAAGGCAGTTCTTCCTCTCAAATAACACTTCAGATTGTTGAAACAAGTTTTCTTAACAATATAGCTTTTGCTTCCGGTGGTGCCATATGTGTCGAGTCTCAATCCAACGTATACTTACAGAACGTTCAAGCTTTTTATAATCAAGCTCATATCCAAGGCGGCGCTCTCTTCGTTGCTAACTCTGACATTAATATCTTTTATTCCAAGTTCCAGAAAAATATTGCCGGCCATACAACTTTCAATACTGGACACAAAACTATAAAATTTACCTTTGGAATGCCAAGATTCACAGCAAGAGGATGCGGTGGCTTTGCACATATAGCTTCGAACCAAGGTAAATATACGATCCATACAAACAATAACTGTTTTCGAGATAATTACATGATCAACGGAGCAATTTCGACGTTGGACATAAAGAAACCAAACCAGACTTCGGATGACAATATAGGCAAGGATGTCATGATCGAAAACAACACATTCTGGATTTCAATTGAGGATCAAATTGGAGATTATCTTTTCCTTTCATCTGAGTTTACCAAGTGGATGTTTACGGGTAACCAAACGAAATGTGATGAAGAAGTAGGCAGTAATACCACTTTCTTTAGTACTTTAATGGAAGGCAAAACATATACCAACGGAACTACAAAATTTGATTATGCCAGATCATCTAACAACGCTCCGGATGCAACAGTATCATCAGTTCCAAGCCCGACAGGTTATACATATTACGCCACACCAATACATATAACTACTCAAACAAAAACTTTCTATGCAAAAAGTTCAATGTGGCAGTTTATTACAACAATCACTGTCCGCCAAACATTTGGTTCAACACCATTTTCAACAGTTCACTCAACAGCACATTTAACACCTTATATAACACCACATTCTACACCTCACTCAACAGCTTATTTCACTCCCCACTCAACAGCACATTCAACTCCCCAATCGACACCAATTAGGACCATAAATCCATCTCCAACATTTTTACCTCCATATGAACCTCCTCCTGCCACAGAAAATCCACTTAATGGCAATATTCCTGATTTCTTAATTGTTAGTCCCTATAATACAACAATTGTTTCATTCACAGCCATTCCAACAAATTTATCAAATACTTATACTTATTTGATAACAGAGACAACAGCATTATCACCAATATTCAATGGAACTACTGTCACTTACACAGTTACAAGTTCATTTACAACAACAGCTACAGAGATTGAATCAACAAATAGTATATATGTTCCAACATTTATAGATAACCAAACTTCATTTACTTACAGTCGCATAAATACATCAACACAACTTTATACATGGAGTTTTACAACTTCAGCAAGTAATGTTGTCACTGTAACATATACTAATACCAATGCAACATTTACAAATACAACCATAAGCAGTAATGGAATTTATTCTGCTTTTTCACTAATACATATAACTACTCTAACATATACAAATAATTCAGGTAAGCCATCATTGACGTATACAAAAACAGAATATTACAATTTAACACAAGCTGGACCTGGTACATCTGTACTTTTTACTTATATCAAAGGTGATGATTATTCAATGCAGACAATTACATATACAACGACAGATTATAAAGGTTCAACATTTACGCTATCAACACTCTCCACACAAACAATTCCAAGTATTAGTACATTTGTTCCAAGTAATCCATCAACAATAGTTCAAATAAACACTAATATTATCACAGGCTCAAATATCATTACTTCAGGAATAAGTTATTTCAGCGGATACCTTAAAGCAACATCTAACACATACGTAGAGATTTACGCACCATCATATTTACTTTCATCTACATTGACAACAGTAGATCAATCAGAAACATATACTTATACAATTGTTACAAGTTTGACAAAGACATATTCATCTGTCTCATTCGGCCAAATTTATGTCTCTTATATATCAATATCAACAAATTACGAAACTAGAACAACTTCAGCAACAGTTGTTTCTACAAATGTTACATATACATTGACAAATACATTTATAAATTCATCAACTTTATCATATTCACTTGAAAATGGAAAAATTTACACACTTTCACAAACAACTATTAAACATAAGTCTATTCCATTTATAACTGCCATATTAAGTCCAATGATAACAATGACTTCTACTTTTACAAATGTTTCAAATGTTATGACATATACTTTTACAGAAGCTATATATAATGCCACTCAAATTAATGCACCATTTTATACATTAGATACATTAGATATCACTTATGTTGCATCAGCAATACCTTCAACAACAAGTTATGCACAAATCAATACCAGCACTTCAGTTATATCACCAACAATTACTAATATCTCTTATCCAATCATTAATGCAACAACATTTAATAATTATGAATTCTCTAATCTTTTGAATGTTTCTACTAATACATCAACATTTGCAATTCTTGAAACAGATACACTAGTTCCGACAATAACTGACCATTATACGGCATCAGCAGCATTTATAAGTGAAATATGGACAAACCAAAGTGTATATAAGTCAACAATTCATGATAAAACAATGGCTTATATGAAAACAAATACTTTCACAAAGGTTATCACAAATATTCCACAAGGTTCTAAAATATCTACAGTAATAAATGTTTCTGCAAGAACATATACACAAGTATATAAATATACAAAAACAATGACAATACCAGATGATCTAGGATTATCACCAACTCATACATTCGAAAAAGAAATTTTCTCAATTAGTACAATATCTGTTTCAGGATATTCACTTATTCATAATACGACGCTTTCTAGTACTCAAACAACATTTTACTTCCCATATTCAACTGCGACTATAACAAATACAATTGTTGATGTACCATATTCAATATACAATGGCAATTTAACATTAACAATAAATCAAACTGCAACAAATATTAGTACAGTGCTGAGTACAATGACTGAATCATTAATATATATTACTTCCACAACAACATTGGAAAATGTATACCAAATAGATACCAGTAAATCCACTAATACTCTAAAAGCAGTAAAAACTAATGATGCATCTCTAATCACAACACCAATAGCTCCAGTTAATAAATACACTCCATTTATCGCAACACCAAATCCAACCATAAATCTTTTATATACTAGTACTCTAACAGCTGTAAAAGTACCAATAAAAACTAATGTAGCAGCATATTCTTATACAATAGCAAAAGTTTTAAACACAATTACATCATATTTAACAGCAATAACATGCTATTCATCATTCTTAACTTCAATAGAAGGCACAATAACAGAAACATATGACCAAACAACTTCATATACAATAACTTATATTTATGCAGGAAATGATCCAATTACATATACTGTTTATATACAACATGGTACAAAAGAAATATATACTTATTCATTTAATAATTCAGAAACATACACAGAATATTATGTTTGGTCATACAAAACATCGTCTGCTCTCACTTATTCACCTACATCGGCATCTACATATACAATTATTTATAGTGGAGTACAAAGAACTGCAAATGAATCATTTGGAACTGTAGTTTATATCCCTTCATATTCATATTTCGCAACACAAAGTACTATTACTTTAACATTAGTTCCATCCATTTCAGATATTTCTGTTGGAACAGATACATTCACTCTCAGTGCAACATTTTCTGAAATTGCAACTAATTACACTATAACAAATGCAAGCATATCAACAACTTACACAAAAGTCACTGCAATTCCTCCTCCAAGAACTCCTTCAATGACACCACTTCCAACTCAATTACCACCAAATGAACCTGGCTATACTTACACAACAACAGATACAATTGTTCCACAAAGTACTAACACAAACAAGACAACAATCACTTCTAGTTGGTCACATGTTGGTTCTACAACTAATATAGTAAAACCAACAGAATCAGACACTTATTCATTTACTTTGACAGAACATAATGATACTATCACTTACACAAATACTTCTGTTAAAACAATTGTAAATAAAACTGTTCCTAAACCAGCTGATGTAACTGTTACAGAAGTTGCAGTAACAACAGAAACACAAACAAATTACACAGAGAAATCAACAGTTACAACAATTAGTTATCAATACGGAAATGCAACACTGAGCGTTACAAATACAAATGTTACTGTACCAAAAGTAACTGATACTACAACACAAACGATTATATCAGATTACATATCTGTTACATCAACAAACACAGTAATTCCTTCAGAAACAGAGACACTAACAAATACATTTACAACAATATCATTTGATAACAAAAACATTACAACATACACACAAACATATGTTCCAACAATAACTAATGTCAGCACAACATTAACTGAAGGACACACGTTTATTAACAAAGTTACAAACACAACAATTAATTCAACAATTGTTGAGTCAACAGAAGCTAAATCAACTATTACTTTTGTTATTTCTAATTTACCAGAAAGAACTCCACAATTAACACGAACACCAACTCCTCCACCTCCAAGAACTCCTATCAGAACTCCTGAACAAACTCCATCAACACCTGCACAAACTCCTTCAACAGATTTCACAGTTGTAGGAACAATTATTGAGACACAAGTTAATGATACAACAGTTATTGTCACAAGAACCTTTGTTGTTACACAAACATTGACAAGTGAAGCTCATTCAGATAGTACAATTTTCTACAGTACAGAAACATTGAAAGAAACAGATGTAAGTGTAGTTATTTTCACTTTGATCGATACAACAACAAACGTTGTTTATTTCTCTATTGTAAATGATGGACAAACAAGTGATGTTTCCAAAGGATTGCCACAAACAACAATCATCATTTTGGCTGTAATTGGTTGTGCTGTTATTTTCGCAATTGCTTTCATCGCTTTGTTCATGTACAGAAAGTACAGAGATAAATCCGATTCAACACCTTCGTTGGAGAGCCAGGAAACAGATGATTTATACGCTGTTGACAATGAAACAAGGACTTCTATCATTGCTACATTTAATAATGAAGATGAAAATGAAATGCTCACGACATTTAACTGCATTACAACAAATAGTACAGTTACGGAAGGTGATGAAGATAATGCAAGCCAGTTCAATGACGAAGATGATATGTTCCTTAATGGCGAATTTTAAATTCGTCAAATTTTTTATTATATTTAATTTTAATTTTTTTTATTATATTTTATGTATATTTATACGGTCTTATACTTTTAAATAATTTTGCTATCTTTGTTTTTTTATAATTTACTTACTTTTTTTATATTCAGAATTTATTCTTGTTAATCTTATCATATCTACTAAGAAGAGTAATTACTAAGCGTAAACAAGGATACTGATCAATTCCAGAATTAGAAATTACGAAGTTTTAACAATGAGTTTTGAATAACAGGCTTATTAATTATGTACAACTCAAGATTGACACATGTATTAAGAAAATAAGAATAATGTAAAGATATAAATCTTAAACGGTAGATGATATTCGACTGGAAATCATTCAAAGACAATTTCCTTGAGTGTGAAGCATATCACATGGTTATTATTCTAAGGATATAAAGGTTCATAGGTAACTTCATATGGATAATTGTTCCTTCTTGATAAATCTTACATTAAAATGAAAATGAATTAATTTTCAGCACTCTTGATGAAATTTTAATAAGAACTCCACATAGAGCATGTTTTAGTCTTGGAACATTGCAACTCCGTTATTTTAACTTATTTCATTTTTAAGGTCCCCTATTCAAATATTTGTATAACATTCATCAAATTTTGAAAAAATATCGATTAAGAGCCCTTAATAATGAAAAACATTTTTCGTGTGCAAAATTAGGTAGTTGGCTCCTAAAATTTATTCGCATTTCATTAAAAATCCAACCAGATTTTCGGATTGTATTATCAGAAAATCAAATTTGTTAATATTTTAAATCAGCAAATGATAAAATACAATTATGTTATGAAACTTTACTGTCTTTATTTAACACTTTATTTCAAATACGGTCTCAAAATTTCAGATAATTGGGTTTGAATGATAGATCTGCTAATCCTAGCTATTCTATCATTCAGATTCACCCCTAAACCATTATCAGAAGGGGAAGACATTCCAATTTTTGCAGAACTCAAGAATATAGTTCATGATGAAAATCCTCTTATAAAAAAGTAGCAGTTTCTTATAATTTCGATAGTAATACATTCCAATCTAATAGAAAAGACAGAGAGTATCTAGCATGCTCAATAAAAATCAATGCTTGTACATATTCTCATTGTTTCGCATTTGGTTCTCTATTAGGTGGGCCATGTGGGGGAGCATTATATGGCCAAAAGTCAATGTTTGTAATATCTAATTCTACTTTCGATAGTAACCAAGCTTCTGACAGTGGAGCCATTTTTACCTCAGAATCAGATGTATTATTGCATGCAGAGAATGCCGAATCTTCAAATTTTAACAGCAATATAGCTTTTGGTTCTGGTGGAGCCATATTTTACCAAGGATTTTATGATAAGATCGATAAAATAAGGAAGTCGCCCATGCATAGACTAAGGATATTTAAGTGTAATTTTGATGATAATGTTGCACACCAGTTAGGTGGAGCCCTAGTTGTTTCTAAAGACAGTAAAATTTTTGAATTTAAACATCTTTTATATAAATGTTACTGAGAAAAGAATCTAATTTTAATAATTCAAGTATCCTATCTTGTTTATTTTCAGAAAAATATGTTAGAGAACATCAAAACTCGTTAGATTAAGTATAAAATTGAAGTATTTTACAATCAAATTTTTGAAATTACTTAATGAACAAAGTTATTAATAACAAATTGTTCGAACTTTAAAATATCTTCTATTGTGCTATATGCTCCAATTGATATTCTCACAGCACCAAGAGGAACTCCTTCGACAATATCTATTGAATCGTGGCACGATGTCTTCTTGTTGTAGTAATGCTCAACTTGGTCATCTCTAAGACCAGCAGCGCTGATGCACGAACCAGGATTGCAGAAGCAGCCAACGCGAATGTTAATATTTTCGGCTGTTGACTTTTTCATGACTTCATTATAGCCTACATAGGTTCCATCAGCATTTAAGAAGTTGACAGTTACAATTGATCCTTGTAACTTTTGATTATCTTTAGCATGATTTCCATAAATCTTGACAACTGGTCTTCCTGTAGATTTATGTCTCAGTCTTGCCAATCTTGTATATAATTCTCTTGTTAATGCCCAAGTATGCTTATTAATGTTTTCAATTCCAAGTTCGTTCAACTTATCGAAGCCTTCCTTCAAAGCAACGATTGATAAGAATGGGATTGTTCCATCTTCAAACTTAGAGCAGCCTCTTGGCTGGAATAAGGCGTAATCTGTTCCGCATGTAGCAATAACAACAGTACCACCAGAGAAATCTCTCTTTTCGAGGTACTTTAATGCATCATTCCTTACAACAAGAGCTCCAAGATTTGGATAGCCCATAATCTTGTAAAAGCTCATTACAAGGAAATCTGCTGGTGTCTTCTTGAGATTGATTCTATTTGTAGGAAGATATGCTGAAGCATCAAGTAAAACAAACCATTTTCCTTTCCTGAATTTATTTCCAAAATCTGTTGCTCTGAATTTCTGAATTAAGCCTAAGTCAAACTTCTTTCCTGCAAAGTTCTCTTCTGCAGGGTAAGCAAACAAGTTAAATGCATTATATGATGTACTTGGGAGAGGATTTCCATTTCCTTCTAAATCAGCCAGGTCAACTGTTTGGAAATCAGCATTAAAGTGCTTTGCCCATCTTCTTATTCCTAAAACACTGTTGTGGTTGTCGCGAGTGTATAAATAAAGAGAATTATTAGACCAAGGGAAAGATTCTGCGAGTAACTTTAGTGCAGATGTTAAAGATGCTGTAAAGATAACTGAATATTGATCTTTTGGTGCACCAACGAAATCTAATACCTGATCACGAACTTCTTCAACGAGTTCAGTTGTATATGATGATGCTGGTGATTCAGAATGAGGATTTGCGAATAAATTATTCTTTAGTTTGCGTGATACTCCTTCAATTTAAGACGTTCTATATAAACCACTGCCTGTATAGTCAAGATATACTGAGCCATTTAATTGATTCATATCGTAACGACGTATGTTATCTATTTTACCGCCATATCCATAGTCTTTCTCTAATGAAGTTACCCATTCTATAGATTTTGATGGTTGACGCACCGTATAGTATGCCAATGAAACATCAAAGGCCAATGCTGCAATGAGGAGAGCCCACAATGCTCGCATATGATAAAAATGAAGTGAGAACAATTGAATTGCAGGTAAAATTTTTTCAGAAGTTTACTTGGCCTCATTACGGTGGAACTTCTGATTATTTGAGAGAAAATCTTGTCATAGAGCCAAGCAAACATTTCGAAGGTTTTTATACTATAGTTTGTGCAAAGCCATATTAAATCATTATTGGAGATTAATACCCTAAGCCATATTCAATATTAACATAGAAATTTAAAATGATAAAATTATGCTCGTGCTGGTAAAAGCTCTTGGCAAAGAAAATACATATTTGGATCTAACCCATTAAGATCATGCTTTCATTAATATGCCCTTCGCATTAAAATTTCAATTCGAATGCTATTTTGCTCAGGAACACATTTAGCTTAGCATCTTCAGATTATAACTGGCATTATCATTTTATTATACCATTACATTTATAATCAGAAACTCCCAATTTAAAAATATTTTAATATTTTGAAATTATTTTATAGTTTCATAGCTTTAAAGATGTTCGCTCGAAGGAAAATAGAAATTGAATAGTTTTTTTTAAAAAGTTTTCGAATAATATTTTTATAAAAAATTTAATTTTAACAATATTATATAACTGTTTACTCATACACATATAAAAACGCTCAAAATAACAATAGGAGCTCTTCAGAATCATAATCACTAATCAACAAAATAAAATAAATTATCCGTGGTTAGTATTATATTCTTTCTTATAAAGTTCTTCGATATCGATAAACCAGACCGCTGTTGTGCTTCCTCCAACAGAGTCCTTCAGTCCTGTAGCCTTCTTTATCTTTCCGCACCATTTCACCGAATTGTGCATGCTCAGCTTTACGTATTTCGCACCGATTGACACTCCACGCGATGGAGAGTTGTAGTTCCAGAACACTGCCTGTGAAATAAAAACAGGATTCTTGAAAAGTATAGAAATTTTCGGAGTTGCGTGATTTTCTTTGTCAATCTCTGCTACAAACATCTCGGAGTCATCGTCTGTTTCTTTAATATCTTTAAACAACTTCTTCGGGTCGGAAAATCTGGCACAATTTTTAATAATAATATCATCTATGTGCGACCAAGGTATGCTTTCGTAGTTCTCATCGTAAAAATCTATGGCGTTCAGTCCGAAGTACTGTTGGCCGCCGTAATTATCGAGAATTGTAATTTCAACTTGTTTAACTGGTTTCAGAGGCATCAAACCGTATTTATCGTTTAATATGTTTGCCTTATCTTTCTTTCCGAACAGTTCTTCAATGATTTCGAAAGAATTTGTTGGTTTTACGAATTGCTGAGATAATTGAACATCGGTTCCGTAGCATCTTGGAATTTCTCCGATATATAGAATCTCTTTTCCACAAGAAATCGAAACTTTACGAACAGATGCATCACCCAGTGATGTAGTATTCCAAATTCTTGCATAAGCGGGTGTCTGATCGCCCGGTAGGAAAAATACTAATGATATTTGATTTGTTTCTTCAGGAGGCCATTGATTATACCATAATAAATTTTCTTCCTGTTTTAGAAGAGTAACTCCGCTAAGTCTATTAAGCATCTCAGGAGTACTGTAAGGGATTGATGAAATTTTTGTCGGATTTATTATATGTCTTTCTTTATCGAGGAACCAAATTGCGGAACAAGCAATTTTATCAGGATGGCCCCAATTAGACATTAAATCTACTTGATAAATAATAGGTTCCACTTCTTTTTTACTTAAGTCTTCGAGAGGGGAGAGCATAATTGAACAACTACTTGTTTGACGAGATAAACTAGACATTGGATTAGGTAAGTTATGACTAAGGGAACTAGAAACTCTTAGTAACTTTAAACTCGATCTCTTGAAATGACCGAGGGAATTAAGTGCTGGTACTCTTCTCATTTTGTGTGAAAAAGATTCATTGAATTTTTAAGTTGGTTTGAAATATTTGAGATAAGAAATTAATTTAAGGAAAATATATAAAATCCTACTACAAATAATAAATAGAATATATACTCCGGAAAGTGCCAATATTTTTTTTTGAATGGATTGAAATAATCGCTATATCAATCATCCGGATATGAATACAAATTTTTGTTTATTTATGATATATTCTATCATGAATTAAATTTGAATTTCGTCTTTAAAATTTTCAATATCATAATTCAAATTTCATTATTAATTGAAATATGCTCGGATATTTTATATTCATGCAAACTTTACATTATGTTTTATTGCGAGAATTTTCAATGGAAAGATATTTCTGATACACACGGTTACAAAATTAAGAGTTCAGTTGGAATTTAGTAGAGTAATCATAAGACTAAACAATATGATTATTGAAAAATGGTTTTGGTAATTTTATCGGTCAGATAGTGCCAATAACAATTCCAATAAAATAAACGTAAATTGAACTATCCAAATTTCATTTAGTTAATCTTCAATTCCGATTTTTCAAATTAAAATAATTTTTGAATTCGATTATTTGAGCAAATGAATAACTTATTATAATACGGATCAGAATTTACTCAAAATTAATTGATCAATACAGATAATTTTCAACATTATATTTTTGGATTTTTTAATTCTTTCAATTATGAATAGACGCTCGTATAAACAATATATACTGAGGTGTTCTGTGAGAGTATTTGATGAAAAACTAAATTTACATCAAAATTAATAAACAAAATACAAAATAGATAAAAAATATATAAATTCCAAACATTACTCAACATATTTTAGCACTTCTTCTGCCAAATAATGAATGTTATCATTATCACTCTCATAGCAATCATGAAAAGCATCGATTCCTTCAACTTCATTCAACATATTGATCATTTCATCTTTCTTAGCTATATCATTGTCAACATATTGAAATGTAATCAAGTAAAAAGTTAAAATTTCGTAAACATCTGCCAAATCATTTTCTAAGATGGGAATCATAAGTTTTGGTATGTTGTATACAATTGATAAGCTAATTATTGATTCGTTCGTTGATTTTATTAATTTACACATTAATTTTGCTGAATTCTTCTTCAACTTTAGAGATCCTGTCGACATAAACGATGCTATCAATCCCAGTAAGTTATCTTCTGTCACAAATGTAATTAATGTGTTGAAATTATCTGGAAGCATTGAAATAATGAATTTTATGCCAGAAATGATTTTGTTCTCTACATCTGAATTAATAAGAGCTTCAGCAACTGAATACAAAAAGCCGTATTGCGAAATAACGTTTGATTCGCAATGTAAAGCAATTTTAGCGATTATTCGCATAGGGGAACTCACATCTTCTGATTTCATCCTTTGTATTGTGCATAAATCAACAATTCTTTGAAGAATATTTCGTTCAATAATGAGTTCACAAACGTTTTCTTCGATATGTATCATACGGGAGATACAGTCGTAAGTTTCTGGGAACGGAAGATCATCTACAATTGTGCAAAAACCATCTACAATTGGTAAAATCAAATTTGGATCTGGAAAATGCATTAATAACTGATTGGATAGTTGCACATAAAGCATTATGCCTCCAGGATACATAGAGAGCTTAGCTTGTATGTCTGGGAAATGAGAAATTAAATCATCTATTGAAGTTTGGAATTTTATTAAGCTTGTAATAACAACAATTATTTCTAACCACTTACTTCGTGGCCATGTTAAGAAAAACTTGCATAATTCTGCTAAAATATCGTATTCTGCAAAAATTAAGAGTAAATCGTTGTTAAAAGAGACTGAATAAAGGAGATGTACACAATCGAAAAGTACCCCTTTATTTTTATTGCATATATTTTCTCCAATTAATGAAGCAAGCTCCGTATTTATTAATATATCTTTGATTTTTTGAATTGTTTGTGCTTTTGGTTGTATATTGTTGAGTATATCATGTATTAAATCAGCAAATATATGTATTTGCTCAGCAACGTTACCAAATTCTTCTTTTGAATATGCATCTCGTATATATTCTGCAATTTGTTCAAGTTCTTGTACAATATTTTCTTCTAAAGACTTATTAGTTTCTTCGGTATTTGATTCAGAAGTTTTATATTCATCCATTCATCAAAAATCGAAGAAGTAAAATGATTTCAATCCTTTTGAAATAGTATTTCATAGCAAATATTCACTTAATATGATATATCGATGGAGAACATACTGTTTAAAATTGCATCAGGTTAAAAATAATTTCATAAAATCCTAGTAGTAGTATATGATGGGTTTAGTGACTTTTTTTGTAAACGTAAGAATTCATACAATATCGAACGATTTTGTATCATTATTTTAACATTAATTTTAAAATAATTTATTTATTTATTCTTACATAAATGACCCAACAAGTAAAACCAGATAAAATAGATTATCGAATTTTAGAGGATGGTGTTCCTGTTTATATTCAAAGATTTAAAGGGAAGCAATATTATAGAATTGTTAATCCTGAATACATAAAACATTTATTTAAAAAGGAAGACTGTGAATTATTAAACGTTAATGAATATGAAACCAATAAATCAAAATTGAAATATAAATATATTGGAAGTGATGAAAGATGCAAAGATAAAGATAAAGTTTATACAGTTTCATATAATGAATGGAAAACCAATAAGATAAGAAAACATTTAGGAGATTATGGGAAATGTTCTGAATTCTTCAAATCTAGTATGTATGAGAGAGTAAAAGAAATTAGATATAATTATTTTCATGAATAAAAAATATAAAAATTCAATGTCTTACATTTCTGAATAATTTATTTTTATTTTGTATGAAATGAGTGTCAAGACTAACGACGTTAAAAAATTAGGATTCACAAACAGGGAAATAAAGGATATATTAGAGGAGGCAGGTTATGAGGTTGATAAATATTATTTAAGAAATTGTCAAAAATTCGCGGAGTTTTTAAATGAGTTTGATTATGATGGAAAAATGAATAAAGATGATGTTATAAATTTCTTATATCCCACATCTGAAGAAGAAAAACCTAAAGAACCTGATGTTTTCCCTGAATATTATGAAGAACGAATTAAAGATGATGAATATGATGAAATTGAAAGACTGGAAAAAATAAGAGATGAAATAGATGAAAAAATTAAGGAATTAAGAGAAGTTGAAAAATATAATGAAAATGAAGTAGAGGGTTTAATGAATATCCCAGCTTCAGAATCAGAAGTACAGAAATCTCATGAAGAAAGATATAAAAATTATGTCTCAGAATCAACACAAAATTTATTAGATGGTGAAATAGACGAAACACTTTCAGAAGAAGGTACTAAATTTATTCGTAAACATAAGCTTCAGTTTATTGACGATGGAGATTATCCATGTATATTACTTTCACCTCCTCTTGATTCTGAAAAATTCAAAAAAGCACTGAAAAATGTAACATATGCAACAAATACGATTAAGAAAGAAGACCATGATATTTTACACAAATTATTATTTAAATAAATGTACAGGTGTTGATAAAGTTTTTGATTTGTTAGATAAAATATCAAAAGAAACAATTGGTACATATAAAATTTTATGCGATTGTGGTTTCATTATTGAAGATACCAATAATGTTTCATATGAAAGAACAGCACCGAAGGAAGACGAAGTTGAAAGGTCTATACCATTCGTTATTAAGAACATAAAAGATATGAAAACTTATAAACATTATATTTATTCATTTATTTCAGAAAAAATGGAAGCAACCCATAAAACATCTTCTCATCATTTTATAGCTATTCATACATTCCTTTTCAAAGTTGTGAAATTAAATAAGACAGGAATTAGATTTAATGTATCAGGGTACACATTCTTGAGTAAATTAAAATGTATTCGTCACGTCGCAGATGATAAAAATTTATGTGTTCTTAATTCATTTTATGGGCTTTAGCCCTGGACTCTCTGAGTCTCGGACTTTAAAAAATAAAGTTTATTTTTATTTATTTAATGATATTTTATTCTTACATAAATGAACAAAAATGGAACAGCTAAAATGAATGATAATCAAATAAGAGCCGAAGGTAGAAGGTTATTTAAACGCTTCTATAACATTCCTGATGGTGTTAATCCTAAAACTCGTAGAAGTTATTTAAATGAAGCCATAGATGCATATGAAGGATTTGACATTTCATCAGAAAGTGAGAGGTTAGCAAGAATGTTAAACGTTAATATTGATTTTTATTATTGTGACCCTCAACCAGAAGACGTGGACATAAATAAGGTAGACTTTCCATTAGTGGAATCAATAATGATAGATCCAGAATTTGAAACAGTAAATATTTTATTAACACAGAGTCCATGTGGAAAACTTCACGCTGACAGAATTACAGACGTTGAAGCACTCACAGGATATAAAGTTTGCCCCTTTTGCAAAGAAGAAGTATATTCTATCCGTGATGATCCAGAAAGGAAAAACCAAAGAAGATTTTTAAAACATTGTGAGAAATGTAAAGAAAATAATGGAAGATTAATTCAAGACGTTCAATTGCAAAACACACAACAACCATATGCACCACATATCACGAAACAGAAGATATATCAATGGCTATTAGCACATAATTTGCAGGAATATTATAAACCAACAAGATATTATATTACTTTGACTTCGAAACATTAGAGACTAAAGAAGAACTTCAACTTTCTGAATGTGCAACTTTGAACGCTTACTTAAAACCATTCATGGTATCATCAACGGTTAAATTAAAGCCGCAAAGCGGCGAGGTCGTAGACCGTGATAAAACATATACGAGGAATTTTTGCTTAACATCAAGTGATTCTTTTATTTCTGATTGGATTGAATTTTTATTTTCAACCTGTTCATTAGTTGCTAAATCAAATATTGAACAATATGAAGAATTAATGAATACATTAAATGAAAAACAGAAGGAAGCATTTAAAGAAATTCTAGATGAGGAATTCAATAAAGTGAATATCATAGGTTTTAATTCGGGAAAGTTTGATTTAAATTTAATTCTTCATGATTTAAACACTGCAAAATGGAAAATAAAATCAATACTGGGTTCATCTTCACAATTTAAGCAAATCATTGTAAAGAAAACAAACGTTCCATATGAATTAAGATTTATTGACATCAGAAATTATATAGCGGGTGGGACATTAGACCAATTCACTCAAGATTTCGGAAACAATAAAACACGTGTTAAATCCTTTTTCCCTTATCAATTCATCACATGGGAGAATTACGAAGATGAATTATATAAAAAGGAACCATTCACTCAAGATTCATTTTATTCAGCATTAACCCAAGAAACTATATCAGATAGTGATTATCAAATATATCTCAATGATGCTAAAAACTTTAAGAATAGATTAGAATATTTTATTCATTATTGCAATAAAGACGTTGAAATTATGATTGACCCAATTGATAAAATTATTGAAGAAACATTTGTTTATAAAATTGACATGCTTCATAATCTTTCTTTATCATCGAATGCTTCAATGATTCGTTACGCTTTAGCATATAAAGACTTTAATCCTAATGAAACATATCCAGAAGAAGAAAATGTGGAATCAAGTTTTGAATTAACGAAAAAGTATTGGAAATATAAAATTGAATCATATAAGAAACAAGATGAAAAAGCAGAAAGGGATACTAAAAATAATGTTTCAACGGATGATTTTCAATACTATCACGATTTAATCCTTTCATCTAAATGCAAAATGTGTGGTAAAGCGTTTACATATGCAAATAAACCAACATTGGATAGAATCGATAATGAAAAACCACATACTAAAGAAAATTGTCAGTTAATGTGTTGTTATTGCAATGTCGTAAAATCAAATAAAGATGAAGATGTTCAACGTTTAAGAATCAATTTAAGAAATTATGCATTAAAAAATAATTTACCAATGACTTTAGATTCAGTTGAAGCTTATCACATTCTCCGTAATGGAATTACTGGTGGTTGATCAAATGTTCAACATAGAGTAAATCTTAAAGGAATCACGCACATTAATAAACTTTCATATAATCCAGAAACTAAAACTGTATCAAATGAGGACACCACCAACATCATGACTCATTTCGTTGGTGTTGACTTTAATTCATTATATCCTTCATCATTTTCATCTAATCCTCATGATTTCATTCAATATACTGACCATAAAATGTATATGCCGGGAAGATTGAATGGTGTTATCATTTGTGATACAGCAACAAAGAAAGCAAAAGCACTGGGAATTATTAAGAAGAAAAATAATTTATTTGTGGCTGAAGTAAAGGGTCACATTGATGAAAAATACATTAATGATTACATAAACTTTTTACCGATAATAAGAAACTTAGATATTATCACAGATGAAAAAACAATTGGCAGTTTTATGTATAATTACATGAAATCAAACAATCTACCTGTTGACCAGAAACAGAGAAAATTAACTCAGTTAGCATCAACACACAACCAATATCAACCATTTTCTTCTTATTATCTTTGGTATCTAATCGACAGATTTCATTTTATCATTGATGACATTCAATCAATTTTAACATTTACTAAAAACACTTGCTTTAATGAATTTGCGAACGAATTTATGAATGAAAGACAAAAGGCTGAATTAGAAGGAAATAAAGGAAAAAGTTTATTTTGCAAGATTTCACTTAATGGATCATATGGTTACGATGCAATGAATACACAAAATTACACAAAGACTAAAATAATGAATGCACAGAAGGCACGCGTTGCATGTATGGCAAATAAGTTTAAAAACATAAGAGAAATAGGTGAAGATACATATCAAATGATGCTCAAAGATAGATTTTATAGATGTGAAACATGTTTACAAGAGACATTCTTCACTTTAGATAATGCTAAATACTGGTATTTGGTTTTCATTTATGATTTTATGTATAAATGCATGAATGTTAATCGTTTTCATTTCATTGAAGGTGATACTGATTCATCTTATTGGGCAATCGCTGGCGACCCAAATCTTCCTAACACTCAAGCATTTCAAGCAATTGTTACCGATAAACAATTTTATGATAAAAACATTTACAAATTCGCACCTTTTGATTTCTTTTGTTTTGATGAGAAATTTAAACCTAAATTAAAGAATAAAGCTGAAGAAAAAGCACATGAGAAGAAGTTATTGGGTTTAGCAATTGAGAAACAAGGTGATAACATGGTTGCTTTATGCCCCAAGTGTTATACATCATTCAACGGTTCAATTGATGGAAGTGATTTTAAAAAGATTGCACAAAAAATGAAAGGAGTTAGTTTACGACAAAATAAACAATTAACACCTAAAAATTATTTGGATATAATAAATGATAAAGTGATATTTGATGGTCAGAATATTAATTTACAACTTAAAAACGGGTCAATGACTCGCTTAACAATCGGTAAGACTGCATTAACAGGAGCACACACTAAGGCTGTATGTTGTGAAAATGGATGTTGTATGCCGTTTATTTAATGAAATGCCACAGAAGAGACAAAAGGAACCGTTGAATGATGGTTTTGATTCTTGATCAAAGGGGTGGGCACCCTTAAAACATTTATTTTATTTTTATATAAATGGATAACGTAGATTTAGAAAATTTAATTGATGATTTAGTACGTGATCAAAATTTTCTTAGTTATTATGATTTAAAAGCATATCTCCAAAAATATGATGAAAATATAACGGATGATGATATGGATTATTATTATTCATATTATGATAGATTTTAAAAAGGGTTTCAAGATATTAAATAAACCAATTGACCCGAAAATTCAACCGTTAAAGGAAAAATTTAGTCGCCCTTCATTTGCTCCATATCCATATTCATACGAAATCGATCATCTGGAATATTCAAAAGGAAACGTTACTTATTTATTTGCCATTAACATTAACACAAGATATTTATATTGCATTCCGGTGAAAGGGAAAATAGAACAGGAAACAAGAAGAGCTATTCAATACTTACTAGATCATGAAAGAGTGGATAATATCAGGGGTGATAGTGATAAAGGATTTCAGGCAGCTATGGCTCATTATTTCCCACAAATTAATTTTTACTTTTCATCCTCTCCATATACGTTTCATAATAAAATAGTTGATGCGGTAATGAGAACTCTTAGAGATGCGTTAGGGGTTAACGGTCAGATATACTGGGATGGAAATCATGACTCCATCATACAACAGTTAGTATATTATTACAATAATACATGGCATAGAACTATAAACATGAAACCAGTGGAAATGAAAAATGATATTTCAAAAGAATGGGAATATATTAGAAAGCAAATGGAAAGGTTGAATGATGTTAAACGTGAACAAATTAATTCGGGGCTAATGAATTTTAAACAAGGGGATAAAGTTTTGATTCATCTCGATTATGGAAAAACTGATAAATCAATGACAAAAAGAAGACGAAGATTTGACACAATAGCTGAATTTGTTAGATATATTAACGGCAATGCATTAGTTGAAGTTGACAATAAATTAATAGAAATTCCGATTTATTTTATTACTCCATTATATTTAAATAATATTTAATTTTTTTATTTCGTAAGAAATGGGTGACAACGAAGCAGCCAAGAGTCCAGACGATGAATATAAAAAGAAACTAAACAGAATTAAATCAAAAATATGCTATTACAAAAAGAAGCCGCAATGTGGTGGGGTTGAAAACGATCAAGAAATAATCGAAAAATTAGAAACTTATCGTTCAATCCTCAAACTGAGTGAAGCAAAAATAAAAGAATTTAATAGAATAAATAAATTGATTGGAAGAGATGAATTTAATAAAGATGAATTTTTAAACTCAATCCAAAATTAATTTTTATTTTTCTTTGACAACATCTCTCTTTCCATCATTACTGCATAACCACATTTTCTCAGTTTTAGTGGTTTGTTATTTTTAGCAAGTTCTCGCGGCATTTTTATCGTTTCCTCCCTTGTTATGATTCGTGGTAAATTTTGAGCTTGCGGGGTATTCATTTATATAAAAATAAAATTTTGTTATCAGTTATTTTATCGTTAATGGTTTTCAGGTTATTCAATAATTAATTCAAATCATAACACCATGTTTGTTTACCGTCTATTCTTCTCTGATGTTGACATATCTGTCATTTCATACAAAATAATTTTAAAACTAACTTTATTTTCTGACTTTCACAAAAGACCAAAAATAAACGCTTTACATGTATTTTTCAGCAACTTCGTCAAATAATTTTATAGCTTTATCTATCTCATCTACTTCAAACGTTTCGTTACCTTTCGTGGGAGCACCATACATTTTCTCAAAAACTTCAAGCAGTTCTGTTTCAGCAGCTCTCATATCATTAACAAACACAACCTTGACTCTATTGACTGTACTGTCATATCTTTGAGTTATATTATATGTCCTTCCTATCTTATATCTTTTTGTGTTGAAGTCCTTCGGTTTCTGAACGATGTAAAGTAAGCCTTCACTGCAACGTTCCATATCGAATGAACCATATGTTATGAAGTTATATCCAACAACTGGGTCTAACCATAACAAAACTATTGGTATAAGACTTTTGTCTATAAGATATGCTCTTGTTCCATGAAATGCTACTGATATCATAAGCTCAGGATTTCTTGTCAAAATTTTCTGAGTTGAAGCATTTCTAACCCAGTCGTTTGTTTTCTTTTCAGATGGAGATATAATGTCTGACAAAGAATATTTGTTGTATTTCTTTGAGTATCTTACGTTTAAATCACCTATTCTAACCACTTTGGTGTCATCGTCTATCTTTCTAACTGTTTCAAACTCAATGTTTGTCATTACTGTCTTTACATACAAAATAAAAAAAGATATAAAAATAAAATTAGCGTCAATGGTTTTCTAACTAATGAAATTCATTATTTTTGAAGAACTGAAGGTGCTACCATGTTACCATGTTGACGACAACATAGGAGGAAAGCAATAATGATTTATTTTTGAAGAACTGAAGGTGCTACCATGTTGTCATGATGACGACATGAAATTGTGTCAACAACATAGGAGGAAAGCAATAATGATTTATTTTTGAAGAACTGAAGGTGCTACCATGTTGTCATGATGACGACATGAAATTGTGTCAACATCACGAGAGGAAAGCAATAATGATTTATTTTTGAAGAACTGAAGGTGCTACCATGTTACCGGGTGCTACCAGGTAATTTAATTTCTTTTAAAAATAGTGACAACATGACATTTTGACAACAACATAGGAGGAAAGCAATAATGATTTATTTTTGAAGAACTGAAGGTGCTACCATGTTGTCATGATGACGACATGAAATTGTGTCAACATCACGAGAGGAAAGCAATAATGATTTATTTTTGAAGAACTGAAGGTGCTACCATGTTACCGGGTGCTACCAGGTAATTTAATTTCTTTTAAAAATAGTGACAACATGACATTTTGACAACAACATAGGAGGAATGTAAAAATAAATTCAAATCATACTTTATAAAGCTTCATTTACAGGTATTTCATCGTCAGTAAATGAATCCTCATCATCGTTTGGTTCAACCTGTTTATATAATCCTTTCATTTCTTCTTTCAAAACATAACACCATGTTTGTTTACCATCTATTCTTCTATGTTTCCTATCACATTTATCCTTAATACTCATTTGAAAATTCTTGTCTTTCATGTCTGATGGTTTGCAGAATAAAGCATTTTCACACGTCATACCTGCACACAATTCATCATAATGTGTATTTATCCATACATCTAAAGGATTTGATGATAATTCGATTAAATCTTGTTTGGCTTCAGTCATCGGTATGATTCGTACATTAAATAATGAAAGGTCGTAATTGATAAAATATGTCAGTAAATTATCATAAAATTCCTTTGTGCATGAATCCATTAAATTCTTGAAGTAATCAAATTGACCCTTAAATTTACCATTAACTCTTAAAACCACGTATCTTCTGTCTCCAACTTCAATTTTGACAGGGTAAACGTTATTAGTTACAAAAATGAAGTTTGCAACGTTCTGAGCAGTTCTTCTGGGTTGATTCTTTTCATTAATTCTAATCTCATTATCCGTTATAATTGATTTCAAAGCGTTGAAGTTTGCGAGTCTGTCTTCACCAACATTCTTGAGTTCATTAAGTACAAGAAACATTTTATTTTCAACTACTGAGTTGAAATTACCCGTTAGCTCACCTATTTCAGTAATGTTTTTACATGAATAACCAGCGAGAAGTTCAGAAATAATGTCTGTAAATCTGTTTTTACCTGTTCCCTGAAGTCCTTTCAAAATAATTGCTGTTTCATTCTTGATTCCAGGATGTTGAATCATTGATGCAATCCAGCCGAGAAGGTATTTATACACTTCATCGTTATTATCACAAATGGCTTCTTTAATGAAATTCATAAACATCTCAATTTTTGAGTAATCAGGCTTTTCAAGAATGTTGTATTTATAACCCTGAAACGTTGAGAAAACATCGGGGGAATCAGATTTAAAGCAAACACCCTTAACTGTTAATGAAGACAATTGATTTAGTAGTACATCCCATGCTGTTATTGTTTTACCTTCTTCTTTAAATAATTTAATCATTTTGAGTGACTCTTTCATGTTTGATTGAAGAACGAATGATATTTGATTCATTTTGTTGTGGATATTATATTCCTTTTGAATGAAATATTTGTTTCCACAATCTACAAAACGGATTACACGTGATAAATCCTCAATTACTTCAGAACTGTTTTTATACTGATGATTTTCAGCCTTGCGTCTAATATCTGTTATCAAAAACGAGTCATCAAGTTTTATATCAAATGTTATTTTTGGCTTACGTAATAAAGGTAAAACGTATTCATCATAATATTCCTTTTGATATAGTTTTAGAATCTTCACTAAAACAAATGGAGAAGTCATTAAATGTGCATATCTACTACGTGCTTTTTCAAAATTACTTTTTGCATTTTCTGTTAAACTGCAAAAGTTATAAACGTTATCGTATGCTTCATTAATTAAATGATTAGGTAACGAATTAATAGCTTGAAACAGTGTGAATAATGTAACTTCTTTTTCTAAATTCATGTTTCCACCGTCATTATGTACTTCAAAATCACAGATGCCATCAACTATGCTCTGGGCAAGTTTATCGTCAATGTTTACATCTTTGTTTTCATTCATGATAGTCTTTATTTCTTCGTTCTTCTGTTCAACTCTTACCTTAATATTCAAATCATTTAATATATCGTTTACTGTTCTGGTTAATGTTGAATCATAACTTCCACGAATGAATGAGTATGTATTGATTGGTTCTGTTGCATTCTTGCGAACTCTTGATTCAGCCATAACCACTAAAGAACGCTTTGAATCATCCATAGAAGTCATGATATCGATATCATAATCATTGCAGGAATAACATTTAATCATTCTGTTCGAAACTGCATAGAAGAAATTAGTGTTGCAATAAATGTGAAGACCTCCTGAAGCGGTTTTAACGATAACATCTTTATCCGAAAGTTTTGATAGAATGTCTTTTCTAACTGTTTCTTTAAGTTCATCATTGTACGATTTATTGATATCAACATCTATAATCGTTAAATTCGAAATTTTATTTACTAATAAAGCCATACCAGTTTTCCTTCCTCTTCCTCCATCATGTTTGAGGTAGTTATGTAAATCAATCTTGTTTTCACCAATTCTTTCGTTGAGGGTTTTAGTTTCTGCCATAACTAATTCCTCAGCTAATTCCTCAACTAATTCCTCAACTAATGAATCAACTTTTTCATCAGAAACGATATAGTTGCTGTTGTTGTTTGTTGCCGTCATTTATATAGGAATAAAAAAATAAAAATAATTTTAAAACTAACTTTATTTTTGGGCTACATCATATTTCCTATGTTGTTGTCAAAATGTCATGTTGTCACTATTTTTAAAAGAAATTAAATTACCTGGTAGCACCCGGTAACATGGTAGCACCTTCAGTTCTTCAAAAATAAATCATTATTGCTTTCCTCTCGTGATGTTGACACAATTTCATGTCGTCATCATGACAACATGGTAGCACCTTCAGTTCTTCAAAAATAAATCATTATTGCTTTCCTCCTATGTTGTTGTCAAAATGTCATGTTGTCACTATTTTTAAAAGAAATTAAATTACCTGGTAGCACCCGGTAACATGGTAGCACCTTCAGTTCTTCAAAAATAAATCATTATTGCTTTCCTCTCGTGATGTTGACACAATTTCATGTCGTCATCATGACAACATGGTAGCACCTTCAGTTCTTCAAAAATAAATCATTATTGCTTTCCTCCTATGTTGTTGTCAAAATGTCATGTTGTCACTATTTTTAAAAGAAATTAAATTACCTGGTAGCACCCGGTAACATGGTAGCACCTTCAGTTCTTCAAAAATAAATCATTATTGCTTTCCTCTCGTGATGTTGACACAATTTCATGTCGTCATCATGACAACATGGTAGCACCTTCAGTTCTTCAAAAATAAATCATTATTGCTTTCCTCCTATGTTGTTGTCAAAATGTCATGTTGTCACTATTTTTAAAAGAAATTAAATTACCTGGTAGCACATGGTAAAACGCTTGTGAAAAAAACAGGTGAAAAAAAAGGTGAGATCTCACCTCTTCACCTAAAAATTATTTTTGGTGTAAATTTATGATAAAAATAAATGATTCATTGAACTCTATACCATGCGTAAACTGTCATGTAAGGTGGCATGTATTCTTTACTTTGTCCCGTTGTTTGTGTATATCCTGAAACGAAATGTGTATGGTTTCCTTCTCCCTGAGTGTCACTCCAGTAACAATTTATAGCAAACTTAACGTCGTCTTTAACATCATATCCTTTACCTTTTGTCATTCCTGACCAATCCCAATATCTATGCTTATGCCAACCCGCTTGAGATGTGCTTAAATCTATGTAGTGACTGTGTGCAGGTAAATTTTCACCTGTAATCGTTTTACTTCCACCCATTTCCTTTGAAGAGTTTGCACAATACAAAAACCTGTCGACTATTTGTTCCCATGCACCAACACCAAACATTGCTTGAGGACCTCTCGCATCCATAGACGTATAAATAGAACCTACTGGGTTCATTAAATCAAACATATGAGATAATATAGGATTGTCTCTTTTGAACTTAAAATATAGTGAAACTATTTCAGGTTTCTTCTGGTTTGTGTCGGAATATTTTTTATAATATAATCTTATGTTTTCAGGGTAGGTAAAATCTTGACTATAATATTTATTTTTGTCATCCGTATAATAATATACTATTCTCGTTTTTTCTATTGCATTATATCTTTTATATCTATAATAATCTAAATATAATGTTAACTTTTGTTCATCTACATGTGGTGTTCTGACGTCATCTCCATAGTCATAATAATATGGTGCTGGAGCTGTGCGAGGCAATGTCATATCTGTCATTTCATAAACTCTTAAATATTTCTTTTGTTCGTCTCCATATAAGTTTAAGTAACAGTTGTTGTCTAATGGAACTTTAACTTGTGTACCATTATTCTTTATATAGCTTACATACATTTCATTGTTATTTTTCGGAATGAGTTTACACCGCATACCATTTCTTAAGGACTGTACAAACTGCCATCTAAAATATTTATTTTCTTCATTGACAGAAAAGTCACCAACAATAGTTTCAATATTTTCAGTTGTTCCTATCAAACTTTGGTATATTCCATTAACACAATCCTTATCTGCCTTCTTCTCTAACTCACTGTTGACATATTCCTTATCTGCTTTAAGGTCTAAACATCCTGAAACCCACCCTGTATCAGCTTTAGTTTTTAAAATCTTTGATGCCCATTCATGATACCATTCAACCCTTTCTTTAATTTCATTATCTTTTTCATTAACATATTCCTTATCTGCTTTAAGGTCTAACGCACTAGCCACACAATCCTTATCTGCCTTCTTCTCTAACTCACTGTTGACATATTCCTTATCTGCTTTAAGGTCTAACTCACTGTTGACATATTCCTTATCTGCTTTCTTCATTATGTCATTTAGGAAACCTTTTATGAATTCCTCATTTAAATTAAATCTTCCAATCTTCAAAACTTTAGGAAATGCATTTAATGCGTAATATCTTTGTTCTTCTGGTGGAATTGATGTTATATCATCCGTTATTCCTTTAATTTTTGAATTCATAAATAAAATTTCTTTTATATTTGATATCACCGCACCACCTTTGCAAACGAATTCGAAACGCTCATTTTTCAATACTATCTCCAAATCTCCATATTTCAACCTCTGTGTTTGTTCTGCCGTCTTTGAATTATATGCATATATGGCGTATGTAATGGTCTGAAGGACCTGGATGCTTTGTGCCTTAAGTTGCTGTGGTTGCTGTTGTTTAATCATTTATTATGATTTAAAAATATTTAATCTGTTATCTCATCAGCTATTTTTTCTATTTGAAATTGCCATAATATTTCATTCATAAATTCTAAATCACAATCAAATAGGTCAGTTATTCTAAATTTAATATTTGATAAATCTTTTGAATGAAGAATAAATGAATTCCCGGATAATTGAAACGGATATGATAAAGAAAATGTGTTTAAGTTGATTGATAAAATGTTTTGTATTGATGGGTAAGAGTTAGGGTCTAATGTTTGATGTGAAAATCTCATTGGGGTATTAACTTTATCACATTTGATTAAAATGAAATTGGAACCAGTGTCAGAATACAAAACATCCCCAACATCTTTTTCAAAATTTAATATCCCCAACAATGAACGAAGATGAGGAGTACAAAATTTAATTTTCAGCGGAAATTTAATAAGGTTATTTATTTCATCAAGTTCAAAAAGTTTATCAGGTTTTGATTTAAAATTTCCTTCATACCATACGATAAATGATTCATTTAAATAACTTAAAATCATGTTAATATCCCATTTCGCTATCACATTATTTATATACATATCATACGTTTTTTCAAGGTCATCTTTAATAAATGATATATAATCTGAAGGGTCTAAAAGAATGGGATTAAATTTACCACTCACAGAAACGAGAGTAACATTATAAATTCCACTAACTGTTAAATTTAATTCACAACTATTATTCGAAATAATATTGATAATTGACATTTTTATTACGATTAAAAATATGGTAAAGCGTTATTTTCCAGTGATAAATAAAACTAGAATAAGATTACCTCAAGAATTCATAAATTCAACGAATAAGAAATTCATTCATGTTATAAATTTTAGTGTTTTCAGAAAATACGAGTCAATGTCATATTCATCAACAGGTTATATTTCACTTCATTCAAATTTAGTTCAATCAAACCCATATAATGACCATTTCATAAGATTTTCAGATGGTATTAAAAATGTAATTGATAGATTAAAATATGAACAGATTGACAATATCGAATTTTTGGAATTTTGGTTTAAATATCCTGATGGAAAAAAGATTGAAGTTAAAGATAAAGCTGATACTATAACAAAAACAATTACAATGACCGATCCGGATAGTGGGGAACAAAAAGAAATAAAACAAACGATAGAAACTGGTGAAAGGTCAATTATTATTGATTATGATTCAAAGGATTATTATTCGATAATGTTAATGCTTGAATATTAAATAGCCTTAACAAAGAATTTTTCAAGTGATATTTTATATTCATCAACTATTTTATTATAAATATCATTATATGTTAAATGAAGTTCAGTTGTTGTTCTATTCTTTGATATCTTAATTGTGCTAATATCCTTTATAGGATTTATTTTTGCAAGTGTTCCGCAGCATGAAACCTCATCATCTATGAAAAATTGAATCTTAACGTCTGAATCTTGAACATCACAAAGAATGGCGATAATGTGAATTAATGATTTATAAGGTAAAATAATTAAACCGGATTGGTCAATTAAATTTATTATTGAATCATAATTATTAATTATTATATCACGGTAAATTTTCATTAATTCAGAATTAATGTCTACTTTATATGGGTTCTCGATGTTTGATGAAAGAGGTGGGGGTATGTTGGATAAGTGGGAATTTCAACAGGTTCTTTACCAGGTTCAGATAAAATGATTGGGTCTCCATCTTCTTTATTTTGCTCCTCCTCTTTCTTTGGTAAGTCACGAGTTAATAAATTTGGTTGAGTTGCTGACCTTGTTAATTCAGGGCTAACATTAACTTTAACATTTTGAATAATTCGTGATTTATCATCATTTACGTTATAACCAACCGTAATCTCTGCTTTTGCGTTTGTGTTCTTTTGACTTGTGAAACGTCTTCTCATTTATAATTGAATAAAAAAAGAAAAATATATTTAAAGTTTTATTTAGTTGTTACGGTAATATCCCAAGGTTCATCCTTGTTTGTTTATACTTTCTTTGTAACTGCACCAATTATGTTATTGATAATGATTTGAGTTTCTCCCAGTCTTATTTTATCATTTACAATATCTTTAATCATTTCATTACATGCATTCTTAAAACCATCTGATTTTTCTAATTTACGTCTATCACTTTCTTTAATTAAATCAAAGTTATAACCTTGTTGAGAATAAAGTGGTTTCTTTATCAATTCCTTGAACGCTTCTGAAAGTGAAGATGAAGAAATTCTTGCCACTTGAATTGGTTTAAATTCTGCTTTCATTGCTTCTTTCTGTTCATTGAACACTGGATCGAATAAAGCAACTTTAAAGAATTTCTTAGCTGGAATTTCGGGTCTAATATTTGCATATTGACCATCAAACTGATTAACATATCGTGGTAATCCATCCGGTCCCTCTTCAATAGCATTTAATTCTTCATTGAAATAAGAATATGGATTATAACGGTATGAATTAATTGGACCATTTTCACCTTCTCCAATGTATTGTTTAACAGCTTTTCCATTTTCATCAAATTGCATAGGATAACGTTCATTATATGCTTTACGTTTAGGATAATCACTTATACTTAATTTATAACCATTTATGACTTTAATATTACCTTGACCATCAGTAACGAAAACTTCATTTATACCATCAGGTTTTCCATTTGGTCCTGTAATGTCTGCTTCATGTGCTTCCCAATTTGGTCCATGACGTTTGGCATATGCTTGAGCTTCTGGTAATGTTAAAACGTTTCTCATTTGTTTAACATCTTTTTGAAGACCGGCAACAATGTGGACTAATTCTTTCATTCCATCAGGAACTTTCATAGTTCTATTATATGCACCCTTTTTGTTTGTCCCTTGTTTTAATGGAACCTGTAGAAGATTTGCTATTTCTGTCATGTTTAATTATAAATAAAAAATAAAAATTAATTATAAAAAGTTAATCAAATTTAACACTTCCTTTATTTAAATCAACTATTATTTTTCCATGTTCTCCTAATTGTTGATATTGTGTGTAAAGTTCATTAATGCTCATTGGTAAATTCACTTGATAAAGCATAACGTTCAACTGTTGACGACTAAAACCACTGAAAATGAAAAGTGTTGATAGGTTTGATTTAATGTTTGTGCTTAATGCTTTAAAGTATTGAACAGCCATAAAGAATGAACATTGAATATGTCGACATTGAGTTAATAATTGATTAAAATATGATTTCTCATTAGTTATTAGTTTTGATTTCACGGCATCATCTAGAAAAATGAGTGAATGCAAAAATTCTTTATCAAAATTTGAAATAGAAAGTGTTTCAAATAATTCATCCCGTTGTTTATCAATAATTTTATCCTCTAATCCTTGCTTCTTGATTGTATTATATAATTCTTTATACATTAAAAAGTTTTTTAAATAATCTTCTGCTTCTTCTTGTGATAAATAAATAATTGGAATTTTGATTAAATGCTTTAAAGATTCAAATGTATCATCTGAAGGTGAACCTGAACGGTTGATATAAATTAACACATGTGAATGGGGGAAGTGTTAGCAATAATGATAATTTGTTTTAATATCGTTAATGTTTTACCTTTATTTTGTTTACCAATTGCTGCAGTGATTGAATTTAAGTAACATTCAGAATATGGAATTTTCATTAATTTTTCCTTAGATAGAGCATTTCTATTATCACTCAATGCTTCATTAATCATATCATCTACGTATGTATTATATACTCCTGCTAATTCTTCATAAGGGGTGGATGAATTTAAATCCATTTAATCAAAAATAAATTTATAATTTTAAACATTTCTATTCATCAATATTTCATCATATGAACTTCTATACTGCGGTGGTGTACCTGTTGATGATATTTCAAACCTTCATCCGGTGTCCATGTCCAATATGTAGTCCTAGTAAACCAAACCTGAGGAGGATTTGTCACCTTTGAACAGTAAGTGTCATTTTCACCCTGAATGATTGGATAAGCTTTCACTTGTACTGTAACTTGTGAGTTGAAAGTTTCTAATCCATCAAAGAATATACCCGCTCCATTACGTTGAACTGGAATAGTGCATAAGAATGAAGTTTGGTCTTTCCATGTTCTAGCTGATGGCGTGCCATCATCTGCATTCAGTGGTCTAGTTAATGAGTCCTCGTATTCTTCCGTGCATTCATTCACTCCATCTAAATCAGAAGCTTGAAGCATACGTGTAAAGAATATGTCACCCACTGTGGTCATCGCTTGATCGGGGAAGTTTCTGGAATCTATAGTGACCTGAAGACCTCGAAGCATTGGATTTTCTAAAACCGTTCTTTGCATTGCATTCTTTGGAAATGTTAACACAACATCTGTAACATTATGAAGAGCGTATGAGAAATCTGAGCTAATACCTTCAGGAGTGATGCAACCTCCATTTAGTGAACGAACGTCAATATGTTGAGCTGGAATCATGAATGGATCTTCCTTACTAATAAACGTGGTATTGCTTTAACTGATTCTTCAATTAAACCATATCCTGGTGTAATGCATTTATCCTCTAAAACTTCCATCTTTGTGCATGAAATAATAACGTCATCAACTGTTGCGTCAGCAGATGTAGCGGCTAAGCTTGTAATTAATTTGGCAGGAAGTCCGATTTGTTGGAATTTGCGATCATATTTATAAACATGATTCATAATCTTTTCATAATTTTCATCAGTTATCTTTTCATAAACGTAATTTTGTAAATCAGCAACTCTTAACGGGTCAACCTGACAAAATACTAAAGTATCCCTGAAAACATAATATTTAAGAATGATATCACCAAATGATTTAGGATAATCATCGAACGCCTGAAATGCTAACAAATCATTTACCGGAATAATCATATCAAAAGTGATATCAACTTCTTCATTTGCTTTCTTGAAAACTTCTGAAGGGTCAATATATTTTCCACATACTGAGTTATCATATTTTTGAACATTATTATATAACGAATGAACAAACTTTTTAACTTTCCTTTCTGATTTTGGTTTATATGTTGCAAATGCGAAAGATTCACGGGCGCAATCCATCTGAAGATAACCAGCATCACCTCTTTCGGTTTCTACTTCTAATTGTTTAAAGTTTTGATTTGATGATTTGTAACCAACGAATAAACGCATACATTTAAAAGCGGCATCACATGTGAAAGCTTTATTTGAAACTAGAGTTGCTTTAACTTTGCGTTTAATATATGTGTCACCTAATTGGTTCACATCATGAGCTGGATTTGTAATTCTTAAATGAGTTTGTTTATCATCAAAATATGGAGTATCAGAGTCATAGCATGAACTTTCAAGTTCTCTATAATATCTTCTACCGTCATTCTTTGCAAATATTTCATTTATCTTTTCGAATGAATGAAACACATTTCCATTAATCGGTTTAGTGTTTGGCACCAAATAGTTAGTCGTCATTTATTATTAAATAAAAAATCAAAATTAAAATATGAAAATGAATTTTTAATTTTAATGAAATAATCAACTATGGCTGCAGGATTCTTTAAAAAATTATGGGATAAAGTAAAAAGAGGAGCGAGTAAAGTTTGGGAAACAATGAAGAAAGGAGCAAATTGGATATTTAAGAATAAAGAAGCAATTAGTGACGTTGCTGAATCAATACACACAAAAGCTGCCCCAATAAGAGAAATATTAAATAAAGGAGAAAAAGTTTATCAAAGACTACAACCGATACTAAGATAAAAATAATATTTATTTATTTTTCCACTATTTACCTCCTATTTTATTAAGTATTCCTTCAGCAATTCCACCAACTGCGTTACCTGCTTGTGCTCCCATCGCCGGATTACCTGCTTTAGCACCTAATACTCCACCTATGATAGTTCCTGCCGTTTTCGCTACTGGTGCCAAAAAGTTTGCAATGAGTTTAATAATCTTTTGATGAACCCAACCCGCAGCTTTCTTAATTCCATCCCATAATTTTTTGAAGAATCCTGCAGCCATTTCTGATTATTTCATTAAAATTAAAAATATATTTCATCACTTATATTCTAATTTTTATTTAATGATAAATGAAACCAATTTTAAAAATAAATGGAACAGAGGAGGAAGAAATAAATGAAAGTGAAAATATTCAACAAAAAATAAACGTTGTTAAACCAATTACTGAAATAAAAAATTTTTCATCTGTTGAAGAATTTAATGACTATTATGCTAACAATAAAAAATTATTTGAAGAATTGACAACATGTAAATTGAATAAAATGTTTAAAGTTGATGGATTCAAAATTTCAAAAATAAAAGGAGAGGTTAGTTTGAAATCTATTCCTCAATCAAGAATCACATCATTAATGAAAATTGATGATTTAACAAAAAGAATAGAAGAGATTGAAGAAAGAATGAATCAAATAATTGATTTCATAAATTCAAATAATCATTAGTTTCTTAAAGTTCTATGTTGAACTCATCAAATTCTTTTTAAAGTTTATTTTTTAAAAAATTTTTATATTTTTTATTCATGAAAATAATTATTTCTAATTTCTTTTACTCTCTCATACATACTAGATTTGAAGAATTCAGAACATTTCCCATAATCTCCTAAATGTTTTCTTATCTTATTGGTTTTCCATTCATTATATGAAACTGTATAAACTTTATCTTTATCTTTGCATCTTTCATCACTTCTAATATATTTATATTTCAATTTTGATTTATTGGTTTCATATTCATTAACGTTTAATAATTCACAATCTTCCTTTTTAAATAAATGTTTTATGTATTCAGGATTAACAATTCTATAATATTGCTTCCCTTTAAATCTTTGAATATAAACAGGAACACCATCCTCTAAAATTCGATAATCTATTTTATCTGGTTTTACTTGTTGGGTCATTTATGTAAGAATAAATAAATAAATTATTTTAAAATTAATGTTAAAATAATGATACAAAATCGTTCGATATTGTATGAATTCTTACGTTTACAATAAAAGTCACTAAACCCATCATATACTACTACTAATCCTGAATATGCTATTACTTCTCATCAAACTCCAAAAAGTATTTACATCCTTTGAATATAGCATTTTGGGACAATTGTGAATCATTAGAGTATCACTTTCGAATTTGCCAAATTTTGCTCCCAAAAAAGGGCATAATATTAAACAAGGCATGCTAGGTGTTAGTTTTTTGGTGCCAACGAAAACAGTCGAACAATCGGGTGTGGAATTGAAGATTATTAATCCAAGAGATTTTATTCAGAATGGAAAACATGATAAAGAGAATTCATAGATATCTAAATAAAGTTGAGATATCTTGTTTCAGAAAAACAATATTGAGTGTTTCAAAACTAAAACTATTGATGTTGTCTTTTCTGAAGATTAGGAAAGACAATTGTAATGATAATCCCATGCAGGCTATTGTTGGTGGTTACTATTGCCCAATAATTAAATATTTTATAGTTATTTTTTATATTTTTACCTGATTACTGTCGAATTCAATGTCTGGTACATATGAGCCATATTTCATGATTTCGCTTTTAAAGGCACTCTTATTGATAATCGAAAATCGAAATTGTCTGATAGAATCTTGTACAATCATTTCTATGAAGCGAGAAATCGGTAAATTTCGTTTACGATATATCAGAAACAAAAAGAAAAATGAATTTTAAAAACGATAAGATTCCAATAAAATTATGAATAAATCATTGAACAATGATATATACAAACTTTGGAGTCAATTTCCATAAAGCAAACTATGACTGAGAAGGATCGGGGGTGCCTATCAATTTAAATTGAGAATACCATTCAATAAATCTTGACATTTCATTGAAACGTTCAATAAGGTATTCACTTTTGAATACCAGATTGATAATCGGAATAAACATTGGTAGTCGCCATCTTAGAATAACGATAGATCTTTGGAGAAATAACATTTTATTGAAAAAGTAACTTTTCATATTGTGAAACATATGTACAATTATGAACATAGTTCATTAATTTATAATAAATTTTAAAACGGTTTATTTTTATAGCTGACAGATTTTTTAAATTTGCAGTTAAATAATAGTACATATATATGGCATTCCAAACGGGAACCGCGGTTGGTTACCATGGATTTCCGTCACCGGTCATATTTTAAAGATTTTTTAAGCCTTATAAAAATATGCTTTGTAAATCATTTTTTGTAAATCGGCAAAAATTTGGTAATTTTCTTCAACTAATAAATCTGCGAATAGCATTTATAATACAAGAACAATCTTTTAAAATGCGTTTGATTCATTTTTGTATAATTTCATATAGGCACATATATTCTTCCGGGACTTTCCGTGATTTTACCGTAAAATCATTAGTTTACACCAATTTTTCCGTATTTTGAATAGTTTACTGCACTTTTTTCGGTAAAATTGAGTTACTGGAATCCGCAAAATTTCCGGACCTCATTTTTCATAGAATATAATAATAATATTTGATAAAAAGATATATTATTTATATTTTTGATTTTTGAATTACGGAAAAAGTGAATTGATAACTTGATTTTTTTATATGGTTAATTTTTCAAATGATATTATGAAGATCTAAAATATTAAAAGTAAAAAATTGAATTACGGAAAAAGTGAGGTCAAAAGTGAAATAAATTTGCAGAACAATTTTCATTGAAATAAGCTTTATTTTTCATTATTAATAACAATGCAAAAAAATATTTATCACGGGTTCAAAATTTAAAATTAAATATTTTAATAATTTACATCTTATTCTTTATTTTATATTTAACCCGTGAAAATATCATTTAAAAATTGAATATATTCAAAAAGCTTTATTTTTATTATGACTGCATGGGATCCTCATGTATATGATGAGTGGATTCCATTTAAGAAGACGAAATATCCACCAACTCCTGAAACATTGGAAACAAAGTGTGGAAAAAAATGTTTCACTACGATCGGCTATTATGAGAATGAGCCTAATCAATCAGACAAAGGAAGGCTCTTTACATACTGTGCCGAATGTAGTGAAACATTAGTTCAAGGGCAGTTCGTGCGATGCATTAAAAAAAGCAGGAAAAATGATTTTAAAGATCATAAGTGCAAATTTTTACTCCCAATGCCCAACTACGTTCCTGCTGAGCACCAAGTTGAGAATACTCAGCAAGCAGTTGGCTCTGGTAATGATCCTTCGTTAGAAGAGATCATTGCCAGGCTTATTGCGAGCCTAGATATAAGCCTTTATGCCACAATGAAGCCAGCATTTAAAAGCTTCCTAGAGAGCTTCGCCAAATGGCTTAAAAATAAAGTCAATCGCGAACAGGGCATCAACTTTACAATCCCAGACATTGAGTTCACACGGCGCGGTGTCAGAGAGGCATTGATTACTTTAGGCAAAACAGACTCCTCTCGGGGCCTAAAGTTCTGCGAGGAATTCCGCATCTTCTCAATTTCCCTGGACTGCGGAACACACGGCAGCCGTCATGGTCTATTCTCTTGTGTGTGCAATCCAGGCAAAACAGATCGCCACCAATTCTTCGACACAACAATTTCGACTAATTGGACATACGAGGACTACCATACGTGGTTTGATTCTCTTAAGGTTAATAAAAACCACGTAGCTGGAGTAGTCGGAGATGGTTTGCCAGCCCAGGTTAAAGGACTCTGCCACTGGAGGCCAGAAGGAGCCCTTTTCCCTGGCTTACAAACCGTGTACATTCGTTGCCTTAACCACGTCTTGAACAATGCTATTGTCCACGCACGTAAGCAATGTCCATTGTTGAATGAACTGATGAATAGAGTTCACCAGATTATCATTATCTTTAAGAATCACGATATGAGAGCGAGATACAAGATCAGGGTTCCATCAATCCCGGAAACTCGCTGGCTCTACATATATGATACTCTGTTTTTCATCTTTGATAATCTGGAAACAATTAATACTGCTTTAAGAAGTGGAGATCTTCCACTATCCCTTTCCAGAGCTACACGTGAACAGTTACAATGGACACGTGATGGAATTCCTCCACTCTTTAAAGATGCTTTAATGATATTCAAGCCATTAAAGCAACTTCAATTATGGCTGGAATCCAACAAGTCCATGGGTGCTTATGCATTCCTGATGATACAACAGTGCCAAGGGATGTTGGATGAAATGGCAGGAAGATTAACGCCAGATGGTGAAGAGATTCTCCGATCAATCACTACAATATTCAAAAATGATATGAAAGAATATGGTAGAATTGATTTGCTTCGGTTTGCTTTCGGCTTTACACCGTTAGCAAGGAAGATCATCAGAGACAAGAAGGGTTTTGGAGGAAAGACAAGCTATCCACCTATAATGCAGTTGAAAGATGTGCAAGTCCCAACGATTCCTTCCCTGAGGATCATCAATCGCGAGATCACATTTGAGAAACTCGGCGAAATCCTTGAAGAAGAACGAACAGAACGTGTTGACGAGGTAGCCGAGCATGATGAAGAGATCCAGCAAGCAGAAGAGGAACAAATGCTTAACGACGATCATGCAGCCGAAACAAATGCCGATGGTTCGAGGAATTCCTTGGTCTGGGATGTTGTAGATGAAGAGATAAAAGATCTATACACATTCATGATAACAATCCTCAGACAAAGAGCAATTGCCGAATCAACAGTTGATCCAACGATCAATAAAGACGATAGAGCCAAGGAATTGAGTGATGCTTACGATTTCTTCATAGAGCAAGATGATTCCCATCTTATAAATGGTCATCATCTTGCTCAAAATGATGGCAAGTTTTGGTACATGAATGGCATAAAGCAACTAAAAGCAATAAGACCAATTGGAAAAAGGATGATGTCACTTTCGTGCAGTGAAGCAGATGTAGAACGTGTAATATCTGAATTGCGAAAGACAAGAAATTCAATGAACGAATCATGCAAAGAAGAATATGTAGCATGCCGCTTCTTCATCAAGTTGAATGATGATCAATTTGATATTTGATTTTGTTTTTTAATAAAATTTATTAAATAATTTGTTTTAAAAAGTATTATTTTTATTCGTAAAGATATTAGACAGAAGGTGGCCAGCCTAATGTCTATCAATCTTTAATATTAGTAGTAATTTCCCGCATTTCTGAATGATGATTGATTAGCTTTGTTGTTATTGATGTAAAACTGGATAAGTATTAAATAATTATATTAATCTTGGCCAGGGGAGTGCTGATGGCCAGTCAGCAGCGGCCACTATGAATCATTATAATTATTTAATACCTAAATTGAGGTAAAAAGCAATAAGACTTGCCGAGCCTCATGCCCCTACCTCATATAAATAGAATCACACTTTAGTGAATCAACATCTATAAGAATGAAGTGTTTTGAAGCTGAAATAATATTGAATAGAAATTAATTTTTTCTGAAATTTTGAATGAAATTATGGGAAATAAAAAAATTACTAAATATTGTATTCATACAAATATATTATTTTAAAGGAAAAATAGATGCTGATAGAAACAATGAAAATTTTTGAAAACTTTACAATTAATTTATGTTCGTTAACCACAGAGCTTGCAATCCAAAGTTCATGTTAGACAACAAGAGTCATGAAGTCTCATACTAAGGGATATCCAACATATATTTTAATAATCTAATGTTTGTGACAAATATTCAACATAAAATTAAGTTTTCGTTTCGTTACAAGGCATTCATACTTTGGAGATATCATATTTAATGTACAGAAAAGTTAATATTAAACAATACATGCTAAAGAATTAATAAATAAGATAATAAAATAAATTTATACGTAATTACTTTCATTTAATATGCTTTATGCTGTATAATATTGATTAAGAGGCATTAAAAGGTTCCATAGTCTGCTTTTATAGGCAAGATTTTTGATAAAAATTTTAAATTTTGAAAAATGATGAGAAAAGGAAAAAAAGGTAAATGAGAGCAAGAGGAGGAAAAAAAGAAAAAGAAAAGAAAGGGAAGGGAAAAATAAAAGAAAGAAGGACATATAAAAATTTAGATGCGCATTCTTAATGCCGAGGCGGCTTGCCGCCGAGGCGCGATTTTTTTAGGCCTCTACGGTAACCCGGCAATGTTTTTTTAAATCTTGTACAGCCCTATACATATAACAATTGGATTTAGTATTGATTTAGAAATTTCAACCCCAGAATTTCATCATTCAATTTTTCTGGATAATGAATGAAGTGGTAATTCGAGGAAATATTCAAGAAGAAGAATATTATTCCAATTATACATTAGTTAATATTACTATTCTTGAATGCAGTTCAATTGGAAGCTATGCTTTTTATTATTGTTACAACCTAGAAGAAGTTAAAATTTCTGGTGACTTAACAAATATTAGCCAAGGATGTTTTAATTATTGTTATCGGCTGAAAAAGGTCCAATTACCTAGTTGTATCAGATTTATCGAACAGAATGCCTTTAGAGGATGAGAGGCTATCGATTTTGTAATTTAATCGTCGTCGTTATCGATTTTGTAATTTAATTGTTATCGTCTTTTTCTAAACGTGCATTTTTACATTAAAAGCAATGCAACTCCAAAATTAATTGGTATTTAGACTTTAATTAGGTGCAGACAAACGAAATGCAGTCCAAATATTTTGGTGATATATGAATTACATAAATTTAGGGAAATTGAAATTATATCTTTTTAAATTTTTAGGAAAACATATTTATAGAATTGTTTAAGTCATCAAAATAATGCAGACTTAGGTCAAATTTTCCAAATTTAATCATTTGCAAGACTTTCAAGCGACTTCAAAATGTCGAAATATAAGTCCAAAAATAAAATTACGATTACAGTCTATCCTCAATTATTATCACGCTAATTATTGAGTGACCCATGCGTTCGTATGTATGTAATACCTTTTAAAAAGGAGATGAGAGAGATAAACTACATTTACAATTTAAATCTGATGTATTTACTTGTTACATTTACAAATGTAAATGTTTCTCGTAATGTTTACATTTTGTAAGTATAACGAATAAAAATGACGCACTTTTTTTACAAAGTCAAATTATTGTTCGATTTTTGCAGCTTGTAAACGATTAATTGTATAAAGCAATTGATATTAGCACGACATAACTGAATAATTCTAATATTGAAATCAAAAGCCCTTAAAATATCATGATATTTTAATTTCATAATAAATCTAGGAGACTATTTGATGAAAACATATCCGATGTGGGTTTTGTTGTATTATATAACTTGTTATTGACTTCTTAGCTTTCCAAATTTTTTTCGATAATGAGAAAACGAATGAAAAATCAAAATTTGGTCCATTTAAAATTTGATTTGTTTACATTTTTTTACTTTTTGAATTTCAATTTATATTTTCCTCAAGAAATACTTTAGATTTTAAGAAACTAAATCATATAATCTACTAAGAAAATATATTAAATCCTATAATACTCAAAGTTTTGTGATAAATCCGATCTTTTTTATTTTACTTTTATTATGTTTTTGCAAACTTAAGGTCCTCACTAGGTAAAACATAATACTCTTTGAAGTTAAGTATTTTCACAAAGAGAGGACCAACAATATCAAAAGATTGAATAAAGATTTGTATTATTTTATTTATTTTTAAGAACATGTTTAAGAACCCTCATTATCTCCACGAATATTGCATATTTTTCTATTCTAAGACCACCAAAATTACGTTTTAATATAGAAAATAACATATTTATGTGATGCTAAAGTCGAAGTCCTTAAAAAATTAGTGTTAAACATCCATTTATTACAAAATTGAAGAAATATGTGTAAAATATAACACATAATTTAGTTATTTGACTCAATTATTAGTTATTATCAGTTGTGTTTATTCTTATATCACGAGATGCATTGAATTGTCATAATTAGATCACCGTAAATCTTATCAATTTTTGATACACTTCCGGTGAAAAATTTAGCCTTGACAATAGGATGAAATATATTGTAAAAAAATAAATTTTAGATTTTGAAGTTTATCATTTCGAATAATGAAATATAAACAATACAAATTTTCTGTCGTTTCGAGATTCATAAATGATCGGAATCTTCCAGCTCCGACTGAAATAGAACTTTCGGAAGCTAATTTTCAAGACGAATCTTCTTTATTAAGATTTATTTTGGATATCCCTAAGGATTTAAGCTTTTCCATTGACTCATATTCAATGAATCTTTTGATACATTTCATTATCGAGCAATCTACACAAAATGAAACAATATTAAAATTCACAATTCAAAATATCACTTCTTCGAATATCTTTCAAATAGATTTGATACTACTGGAAAATTTATTCGAATATTTATCGCATTATATTAACCAGATTTTTTTCATTTTTTCATTAAAATTAATTCATTTTAAAGCTTTAGATAACATACAATACCTTTATTTATCAACATTTTCCGATCAATATGATGAGATATTACGTTTCATAAGCAGCAGTGACAATTCTCTCTATATCATCGATACATTTATTGCTTTGATTAAAAACAATATTCTTGACGTTGAATTCTTCCAAAACGCAGTTTTACTCAAGAAAGAAATTTTTTCTAGTATTATTGAGTACGAAAATCAATATTCAACTTATGCAATTGCAAATTTCTTTACAAAATTATTAAAATATTACCCAGGATATGCAACTGCTCTTCCATGTTCGGATATACTAATATCAAATTATTTCAACTTTTTTAATGACGTGAATTCAATTATAAATAACGAAGATTTTGTTTATCTTCTCAAATTTATAGTTTTATTTTATAAAGCAGTCGATATAACATCTGAGATGGCTTTAGAATTCATAAAAACACTTGAAATTCTGCGAAGTCTTTCTCCTCACTATTCATTTACAGAGTATGTAGTTCAGGGGTATTATTGTGTACTTCCTCTTATACCCATGCAAATTTCATCTACCGATTTTTTAAATTCACATGAATTTTTAATTAATTATGCAATTGAGAATTCAAATCTTCACAAATATTTGAAATTATATTCCAGATGTTTCCGCAGATTTGATAGCGATGAAATATTCAAAAATGTTTTTCATATCTTAAACCTTGTAGAAGTTACAACAGAATATTTATCAGAAAATCAGGATCTTTCTGAGAAACAGATCTTTATTTGCAACGATATCCTAACGAGGGTTAATTTAAGGGTTGACCGACGTCCATTCAATTTTTGAGAGGGCATTCAAAATTTATTGATATTAAGTATCAAATATCTCGTTATCTATAATTTTTTAAAACATGGTTGTTTCAGATAATGTTTTACCTTAATGAGATGTATGCAACGAGAATGAATTTTCGGTCACAATATTGTTCTATAAAAATTTCAAATTTTTTCGATTTTTCTTTCGATTGGAAAAAATTTTATGGATAAATTTTTTACAGAAATACTATGGAATTTTTAGATAAAAACAGTGACATATCATGCATTATTGTACCCTTGATATAATGCAACAGATAAATCAGAAAAATAATGAGGTTGAAAAAACACAAAAACGTTGACCGACCTCTTTTTATCAAAACACCACTACACATCATAGATCATTTTGCAACAGCGCTCCTCCGCGGATTCGACGTATTTAATAAATTAGCAAAAAAAGTATAAATCGTACTATTCGAATAGCACAATAGAAAGAATGAATATTAACAATTGTGTTTTTGATGATTAAAGGTTTGAAAAAGATAGTTTGAAAATAAGTTTTTTTGTTTTGATTTTTTTCTATAAAAAATTTCTTTATTTTTAAAAAACTCCTCCATTTTGGAATGTTGCTAGAATTACAAACGGCAAAAAGAATTAATTATTGCTGAATATATATTTATTCCGTTCCAAATTGAAGTGTTTTGCAAAATGAGAATAATATCCCAAAGTTTTTTTGTATTAATCTTATAATCAAAATATTGATTCCTAACACCATATATCCATGTGTAACAGATTTTATAGAATAGTAATTCAAGCTGAATTATTCAGATATTGAAATCTGGTTTATTGTAAATTTTATTCAATTACGGTAAATTTTGGAATTTTACGTGCTAAAATATATTGCAATCTAGGATTTGTAGTATTTGATACTAAAATAACGAATATTTTTGCTTGTTTTCTCGCATAATTTTAATATGATTGTAAAAAATTATGAGTTACGATCCTGAAAATCAATAATTTAACACCTCTCGACGAACCCTTTTAAATGGACACAAGTCAATTTTTTTGAGTTTTCGAGGGTATTTTACCAAGGCTGAAAATGAAAAAATCGGGAGGATTACGTCCTCTCAATTTAGGTCGGTCAACCCTTAATTTAATTTTTATTTTTTATTTCAAGTTTGAGTAAACTTTCAAGATAATCTATATAAGCCTTTTGATGTTCTTCATCTAGATTCTTGTTTAATATGTGATGAATTTGATTTTTTTTTGAAAATTCAAGATAAAATTCTTTTTTATCTTGATCAACAACATGAACAATTCGAGTACAGCGTAACATTTCATCAATATTTTCTGTTTTCTTCGTTTCTAGATATTTTTCAAATATTTCTTGCGGAATCTCATTTTGATATACCCATTTATTTTTTTCCGGATGCTGATCTTTGTACTTAACGAAATATTGCTTGACTATTCGCTCAGAAACAACATATTCGATCTCTTTTCTCTTCTCATTGAATATTTGTGACACTTTTGAATTCAATCAAATCAAAAATATTTGAAATTGCTAGAATTTTTTTCTTTCTCATGAATATTTGAAATGACTCAAAAGGAAAACTCGTTCGATTCAATTCAATTTTGAATCAGAATTTTTTAAGGACCAATAAATCAAATTATGTTAAGAAATCTTTTTTTAACTCAGAGTATCAAAAGTACGTTAAACCTTCAATTTTATCTCATGTCGGAAAGCGAACCGACAATAGTGGAAGAGAATCAAACTATATCAGTATCCATCCAAGCTATTGTTGATGAAGAAAAAGGAGATGGAGCTGATATGCTGGATTTAATTCAAAATGAATTGAATTCCCGTAAAAAATTGAAATATAGAATGGAAATACCTGAAAATCCCCAATTCCAATTCTCAAGGAAAGATATAGCAAATTAAAATTTACAGATCCTACAGAAGCTGCTATATTTATTGCAAAAGATTCATATAATTCTTTTTATCCATTAAATTTTGAGCAAGGAAAAAAGTTTCGTTGTCCTAACTGCCAATTTTGCATGGAGCTTGTAAAGACTCATGAAAATGGTCAACTTTTCTTCATTCCAGTAATTAAACACGAGCATAGAGCAAAGCAATGCAAGCCGAGTAACAATATACCAAAAATTCTTAAGTTGCAAGCAGGAAAAAAGTCTATGAATTAGCAAATTCTGATAATGTTCCTCAATGCAAAGAAATTTTTGCAAAAGAATTGAATATTCCCAATGCAACTTATACGATGTTCCATAATATAGTAAATAAACTTAAAGGAACCACAAAAGGGGATAGAATTCAATCTTACAATTATTTCTCAACAATTTTTTCAATCATAAACAAAATCGAACAAGGATTCTGCGAAATGATTTTAGTTAATGAAGTAGTTAGTATCCCTAAGTCGTGTACTGTGGCACTGCGCGCCTCCGTACACCACTTAGCGGTTTTGACACTTTACGAAACCGGTAACGTATATTTACAACACAAACGGCAACACAAACTTAACCTTAAATATTTACAAAACCACCAACCACTAACGACTTCACTAACGAATTCACTACCGTCCTCACTAAATAAAAAATAACCTTATTTTTATTTTTTTTAATTTTTTATTTCATTACAAAGACATGTCCGACTACATTTACTATGACTCTTTCCCAGAACGTTTCCGTGAACTATTCAAAACTCAAGTAAAACTGAGAAACATGCATTTTAACAAAGACAGACCCATTGACGATGAAAGAAACCCTGAATATATTACAATCCCTTATGACGCAAAGTTCATTGCATACATTCCTTATGGTCGCAGAGGAACGAAAACTATTTCAACAAAGAACAAAAATTATTTCTGGAGCGATGAAGAAAATTGCCTTATCTACATAAATGCATACTTAAATAAAGCTACATATTGTACAAAAGAAGGTTGGACTGGATTTGAGCTCTACATATACGACGACGATGGAAACAGACGTTGTGTATACCCATACGATAATATGTACCATTGTTTTCATCAAGCATTAAACGAATACATAGTCAGTAAGGGTCTCATTCCTGTTGAGTAGAAATGCTTTATTTTTGTTCTGTCATTTATAAAAAAATAAACTTAAAAATAAATGATATCACCACCCTCACACGTATGAAAACATAGCACAAAAATAAATTTAGGGTAGAAGGGTATATCTAACCCGATTTCTAACCTCATTTCTACCCTCTTGAATTCATTACTTTATAACTCTCTTCCTTTCTCCAACTCTTCTAGCTTCTTCTTAAGTTCAGCAATGCTGTCCTCATGAAGTTTAATCTTTCTCAAAATTCCTTCTTTATCTAATGGTTGCTTTATCTTTCTAAACTGAACTCTACCATCTTTCATAGTATGAATGTAAAAACCTTCTGGAATAGTTCCTGATTTAATGTATTCTACCAAGAACTTTTGTTTCATTGCTTCAGTGACTTTAGTCGTCATTTTACTCTAAGGTGAAGCTAGCACAGCGATAATGGATTTCATGACTTTTTAGTATTTCATGCAATCTTAACAGATAGCCTTACAAGTACTTCCAGTGTCCCTAGCTGTCCCTCCTTTTTATATAACTCCATGACATTTATAATCTTGCGAAACTTAACAGGTAGCATAACAGATTAAAATCAGATGAGGTTTTGAACCAAAATTTCTAAGCAACGTTGTCAAGGATTTTGAGGAACTAGGGACAGAGTGTGGCAAAGTCCAAGATTTAATTTATCTTCATCTGTTTCATCAGCTATCTCATCTAATATGCCAATATTTTATTCATAACTCGTGGCAAACTCACTAATTTTCATTATGTTCATCTGCATGCTTCATCTGATTGAAAGTATGACTTTCATTAACTCTGTGAGATAATGAAAACTACTAGGGACAGAGACCATGGCAAAGTTCATGATTTAATTTATTCTCTCACTAACAACAAACACAAACTCCAACACTAACATCAAGTACTAACTTCAGCACAAATGACAAACGCTAACAACAAACACAAACTCCAACACTAACGACAAAAATAAATGTCCTCACTTCTTAACAAAGTAATATGTGCTTCTTACACCACCATAGCTCAAACGTTTCTTTTCAAACATCGATTGAAACTTATTTTGAGCTATTGGCTTTAGTCTCTTTTTCTTCAAATACGCCAAGAAATCTTCTTCACATCTTTTCACTTCATAGCCTTCTTTAAACTCCTCCTTGTTAAGTTCTATGAAATCCTTTATATCATTCTTTGTTGCAATGGCTTCTTCACGAACGACATCGTGAACTATTTCATCATTGCATTCATGTATGACCTCCTCACTGTTCTCATGAACTATTTCAACACCGTTCTCATGAACGACCTCCTTACTGTCTTTCATAAGCGTTTCAAAGTCTCCTTTACTCATTACTTCAATCTCATGCTGTTCACAGTAGTACTTAAACTCACTGTATATGTCTTTGTTGTATGTTATATTGCTTCCTATGTACTCCATGAATTTTTCAAGCACTTCCTCATAATTCACTGTTTCTTTCTTTCCACGACCTTCTAATATCATACTTGCTTCGTAAATATAACTTCTTGCAGAACCGTCTCGCTTTCTACTTCTCTTCACAAATTCTCTCATCTTGCCACCAAATACATTTGAACTACATGCAAAGAATTCATTCTCCTTCGCAAATTCTTTATATCTTCTGTAGCACTCTGTACAATTCCATCCGGATACAAACTTTTCATAGAAATCCTCGTAAAACATTTGGTAATGTGTTTTGTTCATTTCGATGAGTTCTTGTTTAGCCCTGGTGAATGGTATCTTCCTTACATCAAATTCACTTAAATCTTTCTTCATGAAGTACGTCAGTAAGTTTGAATAAAACTGTTCATTAAAGCTTTCAATGAGATTTGAGAAATATTCGTAATTTCCTTTGTATCTGCTGCTTACGTCAATGACAACAAATCTTCTGTCGTCTTTGTCAATCTTTACTGAGTTGAAGTTGTTAGATATCATGATGATATTACAAACATTCTCTATCTTTCTTACTGGCTGACACTTCTGATTTAAGTCCAACTGAGTCTCTGTTACTATTGACTTTAGTGCGTCGTGGTTCATGACCTTAGACGTATCGCATGAGCTTAGTTCATTGCATACGATGAGCTTCATGTTCTCAATAGCAGCATTGAATCTACCAACAACATTCTCTATTGATGTTATATTATTGTTGGCGTACTTGCTAATGAGCTCGCATAGAACATTACTAAATACATTCTTACCAGTTCCTTGCTTTCCTGTTAACAAAAGTACCGTTCCAGTCTTTCCACAAGGATTTTGAACGATGTAGGCGAACCAGTTCAAAACATACTCATAAAGCTCTTCATTCTCATTACATATGACATCGTGAACATGTTTCAAATATCCTTCAATAATGCATTCATCTATTTCATTCAGTACCTCATACTCATATCCTCTGAAATAGCTGTAAATGTCATCTCTTTCATCAAAGAATCTCATGCCTGACTTCATAAGATAGTTCTTGTTCTGACCCGCTTCATAAATCATCAGTGTGTTCACATCCTTCTCTTCAATACGTCCTACATAAACACTCTTCATGAGCTTATTGAATTCCTTGCTATCTACTGACACAAGTGTTGTTGTGTCTCGTATTCCATCATAATCTTTCACTAGATATGTCATACGTGCTCCGTCAATAACGACAACACATCTTCTTAAGTCATTTATAACACTAGCTATGTCAATACCTTCTTCACTCATGTACTTATTTCTCCTCAAGTCCTTTAGTGTGAAAGTGTCTCTAAGTTCTATTTCAAGCAATTCATTTACACATCCTTTGCAATACTTCTCTATAAAATATTTCTGTCGTTCTTTACTAAGTTTCTTAACAGCTCTGAAGAACCATGTGTTTTGACTCAAACATCCTTCACAACTTCTCTCATTCATTCCTAGTTCTTTCATGTCATTATCTTCAACCTCTATGGTCTCATTGACTAAGGTCAAAGGGTTCTTAGTCATTGCTGGTCTTATCTGAAACAATGTTCGTGCAACAGGTTTAACTAGTTCAGCAACGTCCTTCCTTAATATGAATAGCTGTTTCCACTCATCTTTGCTAACAGTTCTTTCATAACCACTGACAGTAATGATTTCATTTGCTGACCTTAGACACTTATGTTCTATCATTTGTATTGCTTTTGTGTAAGGCTTTCGTGAGCATAGGTTGTATATGTCATTCCTGCAATGTTCATTCATGCCAATAGTACTAAATCCTTTCTTTGCTGTTGAGTGCATAATATCCATTAGTTCCTGTGTTCGTATTGCTGTCTCATAAAATACAACAAGACCTTTGTCATCTATGACGTACTTACCGAAAACATTGCTTATATTCTTTAACCATGAAATAACATCCTTCATTCATGCTGTCAAACATGAAGTAAGGTCTTACATACTCTTCACTTATAAGATACTCCACAAAATACTTGTTAAGCTCTATGTCCTCGTGAGCGATTTCATTAGGTTTGATATTAGTTCCTTTTGTCATTGCTGTCATGTACTTCACTCTCATAGTTCCTTTCAATAGCGTAAAAATACTTCATTGTTTCATAAACTGCTCTAAATTCTGTTCAAAATTCGTACAACATAACTTTTTAACATTAGTGAAAGAACATGAGCGAAACAACAACATCTAACATTACAGAAGAAGTCAATGACAATGCCGATGAAAACATTACAGAAGGAGCTAGTGAAAATATTGACGAGTTCAGTGAGGAAGAAGATATTGAGGACGTCAATGAGAACGTTAGTGGGGAACAAACTCAATGGGAAACATTGAGAAATCATGAAGATTATGAGATTTGTACGACATATCCTTTTACTATTCGTCGAAAGAAAGACAAACATATTAGAGTGAATGCTTAAATAATTATGGTTATATTGTGCTTAGTTTAAACAACAAAATGCATTTAAAGCATAGAATTATTGCAGAACAGTGGATTGAAAATCCAAACAATTTGAAAGAAATAGACCATATAAATCATGATAGAACGGACAACAGAATCTCAAACCTTCGTTGGTGTTCTAGATCTGAAAACAATAGAAATAAAAGCAAGTATGGCGATATAGTTTATGAGTTCGTTGATGAAATATCTGACGAAGCTGTTGAAATAACAGATTATGGTAAGCATTCGTTTGAGTTCTACTACTATGTTGAGAATGAGACGCATTCTATTATTATACAGGTCTTAACTATCGAAAACTTCATATAAACTTTACAAAAACAGGTGCTGCTTATGTTTGTATGATAGATACAGAAAACAAGAGTGTAATTTTATTCATAAACAAATTCAAACGCTTGTACAGCTTCATGTAGGACAAACATTATTTTTCAACACTAACGCCAACACTTTAGGACAAACATTACTGTATAACATAGACACTAACTTCATATAGAACCGAGCAACTTTCTAAATGTCGACAGCCCCTAGCTCAGTGGTATGGTACAATGAAGATATGGTGTGAAGGTCGGGGTTTCGACTCGCGAGGGTCTCATGTTTTGGTATTATCTTGTCAACTTTCTAACTGTCGACATTCTTCCACTTGCTTCAAACACTAATGAACGTGTCAAAATGAGCGTAAAACACTTCGTCAAGATTTCATCGTAAATGCTTCGTCATGACTTCATCGTAAGTGTTTTGTCATGATTCATCGTAAATGTTTTGTCAAGATTTCATCGTAAACACCTTGTCAAACATAAATGTAAACACTTTGTTAAACATGAACTAACCAACATAAACGTAAACACTTTGTTAAACATGAACTAACCAACATAAACGTAAACACTTTGTCAATACTTCATCGTAAAGACTTTGTCAAACATAAACGTAAACTCTTTGTCAATACTTCATCGAAAATGTTTTGTCAAGAATTTCATCGTAATGAGCGTAAACTCTTTGTCAATACTTCATCGAAAATGTTTTGTCATGACTTCTTCGTAATGCTTTGTCAAACGTAACTATATAAAATAAAACGCAACATAAACGTAAACACTTTGTCAAGATTTCATCGTAACACTTTGTCAATACTTCATCGTAAACTCTATGTTAAACATGAACTAACCAACATAAACGAATGTGTCGAACTTCATCGTAAGTGTTTTTGTCATGACTTCATCGTAAATGCTTTGTCATGACTTCTTCGTAATGAGCGTAAACACTTTGTCAAAACTTCATCGTAAATGTTTTGTCATGACTTCATCGTAAAACACCTTGTCAAACATAAACGTAAACTCTATGTTTAAACCTGAACTAACCAACATAAACGTAAACACTTTGTCAATACTTCATCGTAAACACTTTGTCAAACATAAACGTAAACTCTATGTCAAACATGAACGTAAAGACTTCATCAAAACTAAACGTAAACTCTATGTCAAACATGAACGTAAACTCTATGTTAAACATGAACGCAAATCTATGTCAAACATGAACGTAAAGACTTCATCGAAACTAAACGTAAACTCTATGTCAAACATGAACGTAAAGACTTCATCGAAACTAAACGTAAACTCTATGTTCAAACATGAACGTAAAGACTTCATCGAAACTAAACGTAAACTCTATGTTAAACATGAACGTAAATGCTTTGTCATGATTTCATCGTAATGAGTGTAAATGACCCAAAAATAATGTTTAGGGTAGATGGTTAGATCTAACCCGATATCTAACCTCTTTTCTACCTCATGAATTTACAAAAAATATATTTTAGGGTAGATGGTTTTTAGGTGTCACCACGTCACCATGTCACCAGGTTAATTAACTTCTCTTAAAATTACTGACAACATGACATTTAGACAACAGTCCAGGAAATAAATTTTATCGTAAATGCTTTGTCATGACTTCATCGTAAATTTTTGTCAAAACTTCTTCGTATATGTTTTGTCAAAACTTCATCGTAAATGTTTTGTCAAAACTTCTTCGTATATGCTTTGTCAAAACTTCATCGTATATGTTTTGTCAAAACTTCTTGTATATGTTTTGTCAAGACTTCATCGTATATATGCTTTGTCATGATTTCATCGTATATGCTTTGTCAAAACTTCTTCGTATATGCTTTGTCAAAACTTCTTCGTATATGCTTTGTCAAAACTTCATCGTATATGTTTTGTCAAGACTTCTTCGTATATGTTTTTGTCAAAACTTCTTCGTAAATGTTTTGTCAAAACTTCTTCGTATATGCTTTGTCAAAACTTCATAGTATATGCTTTGTCATGACTTCATCGTAAATGTTTTGTCATGATTTCATCGTATATGCTTTGTCATGATTTCATCGTAAATGTTTTGTCAAACTTCTTCGTATATGTTTTGTCAAGACTTCATCGTATATGCTTTGTCAAGATTTGATCGTATATGTTTTGTCATGATTTCATCGAAACTAAACGTAAACTCTATGTCAAACATGAACGTAAACTATGTTAAACATGAACGTAAACTCTATGTTAAACATGAACGTAAACTCTATGTCAAACATGAACGTAAACTCTTATGTTAAACATGAACGTAAAGACTTCATCGAAACTAAACGTAAACTTTATGTTAAACATGAACGTAAACTCTATGTTAAACATGAACGTAAAGACTTCATCAAAACTAAACGTAAACTCTATGTCAAAACTGAACGTAACACTTGTCAAAAAAATACTTATGTAAACATGAACGTAAAGACTTCATCGAAACTAAACGTAAAACTCTATGTTAAACATGAACGTAAAGATTTCATCGAAACTAAACGTAAACTCTATGTCAAACATGAACGTAAAGACTTCATCGAAACTAAACGTAAACTCTATGTCAAACATGAACGTAAAGACTTCATCGAAACTAAACGTAAACTCTATGTCAAACATGAACGTAAACTCTATGTTAAACATGAACGCAAACTCTATGTCAAACATGAACGTAAAGACTTCATCGAAACTAAACGTAAACTCTATGTTAAACATGAACGTAAAGACTTCATCGAAACTAAACGCAAACTCTATGTCAAACATGAACGTAAAGACTTCATCGAAACTAAACGTAAACTCTATGTTAAACATGAACGTAAAGACTTCATCGAAACTAAAACGTAAACTCTATGTTAAACATGAACGTAAATGCTTTGTCATGATTTCTTCGTAAATGTTTTGTCAAAACTTCATCGTATATGCTTTGTCAAAACTTCTTCGTATATGCTTTGTCAAAACTTCATCGTAAATGTTTTGTCAAAACTTCTTCGTATATGCTTTGTCAAGACTTCTTCGTATATGTTTTGTCAAGACTTCATCGTAAATGCTTTGTCATGATTTCATCGTATATGCTTTGTCAATGTAATGCATGAAAATTCGGTCCACTTCATTTTTGACACTTTACATGTCGGATGTATTATCTAAGAATTATATTATAAAATAATAATTTTGTGTTTTATAAGTTTATTTGTATAAATTGATTCAAAAAAATGGAAAGACAAGAAGTGGATCTGCCAAATGAAAATCAGATTTATATTACGGCATATCTTGAATATTCTATTGGCAAAAAGACAGCAGACCAAGTTGCAAAAGATTTGCACATAGGTAGAAAAAAATTATTATTAAAATGGCAAGAACTTGGTTTAAATCCAAAAAAGCTCGGAAGACCAGAAACTCCTCTTAGAACAGATTTGTTACCAACCATTCACGAAATAAAAGCTAAGTACAATCTAGGTTATAAAAAATTTTAGAGAGTACATACATGATGACACAGTTTCATTTCACGATATGCTTAAATTATACGAAAAGAGAATCTTTTCAAATTTCCGGCGAGATCCAGAAAAATTGATGAACATCCAAATCAGTATTAATACGTAAATCAGCAATGGCATACTGATTTAAAAAGCTTCAAAGAAGAGACAAATGGTACAAGCATACTTATCATTTAATTGCCTTTATCGATGACAGATCTCGTTTTTGTATTTATTACGAAATTCTTCCCGATAAAACAATGAAATCAACTTCAAAAGCTTTACAAAATGCTATCGACTCTATCAAAATTATTCCATACGAACTTTTGACAGATAATGGATGCGAATTTACAGGAAAGGACTTCAAAAACGTTCTTCAAGTAAATGGCATTCAAACACCATCGGACAGAACCTTACACACCACAGTTAAATGGTAAAATAGAACGTTTTTGGCAAAACAATCTTTTCGGCTCGCCCAGATTTTATCGAAATAAGAGAATTTTTACCTCACGCAATAGAAGAATACAACACAGTATGGTTCATACAGCTCTTAAAGATTTTCGGTGGAAAACCTACTCCAAAATCAATTTGGGACCAGGTCCTAAATGGACAAAGGACTTAAACCAAATCCTGAGTTCGAAATACAGCCTCGTAACAAAAATAAAGTAAAAATACGAATAAACATTTTATTATAATTTAAATAATTTTTTTATTCATAAAGTAATACGATATATAGCTAAGCTATGTAAGGATATTCTGATGCTGAGAGTTTAAGAACTTTAAATTACGTATAGAAAAAAATTCATTTAATATTTTGTAACATTTTTTAAATTGATAGATAGTTAGATTTTGTAGGGAGGTAAGATTCTTTGTGGTAATAATGGTCGTTGAAATTAAAATGAATGTAAGATTTGTGAGAAATTGTATAAATTTGCATAGTGTTAGATTCAGAATAGGAGCATATGAGCCAGTGATTGTGTCTAATGTTTTTAAGGTGCTAATTGGAAGTAGAAAAGAAAAAAATTTGTTGCAATAACATCATATTGCAAAAAAGTTTTTAAAATATGATGTATGAATAAGAGTATGATTGTATAGATTTGGGTTGTATAAGGAATTGTTGGCTATGATGTACTGATCATGAATCAGTACATCATAGCCAACAATTCCTTCCCAAACAACCCGAAATTTGTCTGATTCCACACTAAATTATTTAATTTATCTAAACTTTTATCCTCGTCTACAATTTAATCATCAATAATTATCTCTTGTTCTATTTCACTATTATATATATATATATTTATATGATTTGATTTAAAAAAAAATAAATAAATAAATTAATAAATCATTTACTCAAATATATCAAAAGTTTTTTTTATATATAAAGATAACTACTTTTTAAAAAAATACCCTATATATTTTTGCCATGTAAACTATTTTTGCCATGTAAACTTGTCACTTTTGACAGAAGTGAAGTGAACCGAATTTTCATGCACAACAGTCAAAACTTCATCGTAAATGTTTTGTCAAAACTTCTTCGTATATGTTTTGTCAAGACTTCATCGTATATGCTTTGTCAAGACTTCATCGTAAATGTTTTGTCAAAACTTCTTCGTATATGTTTTGTCAAGACTTCATCGTAAATGTTTTGTCAAAACTTCATCGTATATGCTTTGTCAAGACTTCATCGTAAATGCTTTGGCATGATTTCATCGTATATGCTTTGTCAAAACTTCATCGTAAATGTTTTGTCAAAACTTCTTTCGTATATGTTTTGTCAAGACTTCATCGTAAATGTTTTGTCAAAACTTCATCGTATATGCTTTGTCAAGACTTCATCGTAAATGCTTTGTCATGATTTCATATATATGCTTTGTCAAGACTTCATCGTAAATGTTTTGTCAAAACTTCTTCGTATATGTTTTGTCAAGACTTCATCGTAAATGTTTTGTCAAAACTTCATCGTATATGCTTTGTCAAGACTTCATCGTAAATTTTGGCATGATTTCATCGTATATGCTTTGTCAAAACTTCATCGTAAATGTTTTGTCAAAACTTCTTCGTATATGTTTTGTCAAGACTTCTTCGTAAATGCTTTGTCAAGATTTGATCGTATATGTTTTGTCATGATTTCATCGAAACTAAACGTAAACTCTATGTCAAACATGAACGTAAACTCTATGTTAAACATGAACGCAAACTCTATGTCAAACATGAACGTAAAGACTTCATCGAAACTAAACGTAAACTCTATGTTAAACATGAACGTAAAGACTTCATCGAAACTAAACGTAAACTCTATGTCAAACATGAACGTAAACTCTATGTCAAACATGAACGTAAACTCTATGTCAAACATGAACGTAAAGACTTCATCGAAACTAAACGTAAACTCTATGTTAAACATGAACGTAAATGCTTTGTCATGATTTCTCTTCAATGTTTTGTCAAAACTTCATCGTATATGCTTTGTCAAGACTTCTTCGTATATGTTTTGTCAAGACTTCTTCGTAAATGCTTTGTCAAACATGAACGTAAACTCTATGTCAAAATGAACGTAAATGTTTTGTCATGACTTCATCCTAATGAGCGTAAATGACTAAAAAATATATTTTAGTTGAAAAGGTTAGATCTAACACGATATCTAACCTCTTTTCTACCCTGTTGAATTTTCATGATTTCATCGTAAATGTTTTGTCAAACATGAACGTAAACTCTATGTCAAACATGAACGTAAACTCTATGTCAAACATGAACGTAAAGACTTCATCGAAACTAAACGTAAACTCTATGTTAAACATGAACGTAAATGCTTTGTCATGATTTCTTCGTAAATGTTTTGTCAAAACTTCATCGTATATGCTTTGTCAAAACTTCTTCGTATATGTTTTGTCAAGACTTCTTCGTAAATGCTTTGTCAAACATGAACGTAAACTCTATGTCAAACATGAACGTAAATGTTTTGTCATGACTTCATCCTAATGAGCGTAAATGACTAAAAAATATATTTTAGTTGAAAAGGTTAGATCTAACACGATATCTAACCTCTTTTCTACCCTGTTGAATTTTCATGATTTCATCGTAAATTTTTGTCAAACATGAACGTAAACTCTATGTCAAACATGAACGTAAACTCTATGTCAAACATGAACGTAAAGACTTCATCGAAACTAAACGTAAACTCTATGTTAAACATGAACGTAAATGCTTTGTCATGATTTCTTCGTAAATGTTTTGTCAAAACTTCATCGTATATGCTTTGTCAAAACTTCTTCGTATATGTTTTGTCAAGACTTCTTCGTAAATGCTTTGTCAAACATGAACGTAAACTCTATGTCAAACATGAACGTAAATGTTTTGTCATGACTTCATCCTAATGAGCGTAAATGACTAAAAAATATATTTTAGTTGAAAAGGTTAGATCTAACACGATATCTAACCTCTTTTCTACCCTGTTGAATTTTCATGATTTCATCGTAAATGTTTTGTCAAACATGAACGTAAACTCTATGTCAAACATGAACGTAAACTCTATGTCAAACATGAACGTAAAGACTTCATCGAAACTAAACGTAAACTCTATGTTAAACATGAACGTAAATGCTTTGTCATGATTTCTTCGTAAATGTTTTGTCAAAACTTCATCGTATATGCTTTGTCAAAACTTCTTCGTATATGTTTTGTCAAGACTTCTTCGTAAATGCTTTGTCAAACATGAACGTAAACTCTATGTCAAACATGAACGTAAATGTTTTGTCATGACTTCATCCTAATGAGCGTAAATGACTAAAAAATATATTTTAGTTGAAAAGGTTAGATCTAACACGATATCTAACCTCTTTTTCTACCCTGTTGAATTTTCATGATTTCATCGTAAATGTTTTGTCAAACATGAACGTAAAGACTTCATCGAAACTAAACGTAAACTCTATGTTAAACATGAACGTAAAGACTTCATCGAAACTAAACGTAAACTCTATGTTAAACATGAACGTAAATGCTTGTGTCATGATTTCTTCGTAAATGTTTTGTCAAAAATCGTATATGCTTTGTCAAGACTTCTTCGTATATGTTTTGTCAAGACTTCTTTCGTAAATGCTTTGTCAAACATGAACGTAAACTCTATGTCAAACATGAACGTAAATGTTTTGTCATGACTTCATCCTAATGAGCGTAAATGACTAAAAAATATATTTTAGTTGAAAGGTTAGATCTAACACGATATCTAACCTCTTTTCTACCCTGTTGAATTTTCATGATTTCATCGTAAATGTTTTGTCAAACATGAACGCAAAGACTTCATCGAAACTAAACGTAAACTCTATGTCAAACATGAACGTAAAGACTTCATCGAAACTAAACGTAAACTCTATGTCA